AGGCGATTGAAAAGCCCGAGGATTCGCCTTGACCTCGGCGTTGTTGGAGAACGAAGCACTTTTCGCGCTTACGATTTTGCCTGTGCCGGAGGCAAACGTGAATGTCAGCGGGACCAAGGAGGTGTGCGGGTGCCAGTGGCTTACCAGAGGGCATTGGCGAGCAGGATCTCCTGAGGGGCAACCCACATGCTGAGGGTTGAAGGCCAAGTGGGTCGCCAAGTTGCCTCACAATACGCTGCCGGCTGCGTGCGGCTGGCTGCGTGCGGCTGGCTGCGTGTTGCACGAGCCTGTTTTGCGCTGTATCCTGATTGGATGGAGCGTGCGCCAATTGTTCAAGCACAGTTGGGTTGATTGGTAGAGCGTAGGCGTACTGCGCCACGCGAATCAAGACGACGGGTGCTTGCCGCGAGGCGTGTGGTCGGCGCAGGCGCGCAAGCCCCAGCTCCGATAGCGTGTCGACCGCCGCAATCAGTGCCCTGTGATCAATGACCTGACAAGGGAAGCGGGAAGCAAGAGAGCAGCCGAGACGCATTGAGAGGTGTGTGTTGGGGGGAAAGAGGGGAAGACGAGCCCAAGAAGCCCAAGACAACCAGCAGCAGAGGGCCGGACCCAAGAGCTCACCACCAACCAACCAGTGCCCCGCCACTGACCTCAACCGACTCAACGATCCACCACCAGACAGCCTTCAAGGAAACGTCAGCGAGAAGCTTCAGAGAGAGAGAGAGAGAGAAAGCGACAGAGAGAGAGAGACCGCGCAGCCTTGACTCTTGTATTTTACTTTATTCGCACATTTTGTCAGATAAAACAGGGCAACTCTTTCATCTTCTCAGGGTCAGCACGCACCCCTACTCGTACCCAGGAACTGCGCCACTTAAAGCGTAGTATACATCACACTTTAACAAATGTGCCATGATGCCCCACACTTCAATATGTCATGGGGGTAGACAGATCTACTTCGGCACGCCATACCGTACACCAAAGCGTGGGATATATCACACTTTGGGTTATACGTCATCACACATTTTCGTTTTCCACACACACACGTTGTGGGCTGTTGCAAGGCAGGGCGAACAAGAGGCCGAGGTAATAACGGTTCTTCGTAGGAGGATGCTGATAAACCTAAAGCTCATGTAGATAAATATGCTGAAAATGAAGATTGACAAGCATATAGTTAAATAAAACCGCAGTAGTAAATGAGGAGAAAAGTATAGTAATATACGTAAAATGTATCATAAGTGCAGGATAAATTAAACTAATCGACATACACACAAGATCCATGTCTTTGATGTGAGCAAAGGAACGACAAGCACAAAAGAGAGACAGCGCGCAATGACGACAGAGGCAGAGAGAGGGGCGGAGACCATACAACAGTAAATGGTAAAACAATAAGAAAACCAGAGATGGAGAGGAAACTTGAGAGCCATCAAGAGAGAGAGATAGACAGCGGTTTGTTTGTATTTTTTACTGATTTCGGAGTCGAAAAAGAAGAAAAAAAAAAAAAAAAATTAAAAGAGAGAGAGAAACGGCAGCCGGCTTCCATTTGACCAGCGACGGCCGGCGTTAGAGGTAGAGAACAACCGCATTGGTACGTGCTGGGTGTGCTTGCCTTAGGTGCAAGTGTGCACATGGGTTGCGGGCCGCAGCGGTGGGGTGGTCTGTCATTCTTCTTCGCTCATCTCATCATCGCCCACCGTTTTTGATCGTTACAACGTAGAATCGCTTCGGCGATCTCAGTGTCGCGGCATTTGAATGGCAGCCGGGGACTCGGTGTTGAATGAGGAGGGTGGCCGTGTCGGCCTTTTGAATACTCAGAGTATTCACAGCACGCTTCCCCTCATCGCCGCTGCCGCCGTCCACCAACACCAACACCACACCACGACAAGGAGACGGCTCGACTTGAACGATGGAGGCGCCTTCAAGCCCCACGACGCCGACATACGGCCGCAGCATCAGTCGGCTTGGTCACCTCTCGCGCCTCATGGAGCACGAGCTGCAGGTGGAAACGGTGCGCGAGACGCTGGCCAAGTTTGACATAAACTCAACACCCTCCTCCCCTTCGGCGGCCTCCCCGGGTTTCCCGTCAACGTCCCCCGCGGGTCATCGTCGCCGCAGCAGCAGTCGGTCTCGACGCAGCTCCAGCTTTTCCGCACCCCGAACTTCGGCCATTGCCTCCCCGGGTCCCTTCTCCCCACACAACAACAAAACGGAGTCCAATGCTTCCCCAAATGCAGGACCCCACGCCCACGCCGCTGCCGTCTCACCCCCAGGCCTCACAGCATCCCCCGACACATCCCTCGAATCCTTTGTCTCCACCTCCACCTCACCCAGCAATGGTCCCGCCAGCCAAGATCGCCCGGCTCGACCCACCGCAGCCCATGTCACACGCCGCCGCAACTCCATCTCCTCCTCATCCCCCAGCGCCTCCCCTTCAGCCCACTACGGCCAGTTTATTCGCGAACCCCGCGACCTAAAAACGCTACCACCACTCCGACTTGCACCCCCAGAGGCGCCCAACCATCGCCCCCGACCCAGCGCTGCTCAATCCCCATCAGCCCTCGGTCTCGACGTCTGCCGAAGGCGCAGCTCGCTCACCCGAAACCGCTCCGCGGATGACGATGATGCCACCACCAACGGCCCTCTTGACCCCCACACCAGCCCCTGGCGTGGCTATGCCGCCCGTCGTGACGCCAATCTTGACATGGATGATTTCCTTGCCAAGCCCTCCCCTCCGACTCCCGATCAAACTCGTGGTCCCTCTTCCGAAGCCCGTCGCCGTGTCAATCGTCGCCGCAGCCTCTCGTTGACTCGACATCAGCCCGCTGCCCTGCACGAGGAAGCCACGCGCCGCGGCAGCGATGATCCGGCCCTGGTTCGCCCCCATCTCGATGGCGTTGCCCCCCTTCCCTGCCGCCCAGCAGCTGTCCGTCGTGCCTCGGTCCACGTCTCGCTGGCCCACCGTGCCATCAGTGATGGCTACGAAGCACCCCGTCGACGTAGTGACGGTGCAATCCACCTCCGTTCAGACTCGGAATCCGCCCGGCCCCAGGCACCCTCTGCCGTCCGTGGCCCCGCCCCGCACGGCCGACGCGTCTCCAGTCTTAGTGATGGTGAGCTCGGAGCCAAGCTCCGCCAGCTTCACGATTCCTGGGCTCTTCCTGCCACCACGTCTCGCCCCGACCCTGCAGATCAGACCTCGCACTCCCCTCGCCGCGCTGACAGTGGTATTGGGCGTAGCGATCTCAACCTACTTACTGCGCCACGTCCGAGTGCTGGCGACAATGTAGTCAAACGTCTTGCAGATGCCGCTTTTAGTTCCTCCGACGATTCAGACTCGGAACTCAGCGACAACGAGCAAATCTTTCACTGTTAAAGCTTCTTCCCTTTCTTGCCATCTCTTTTCGAGATCAGCCATGGGCGTGTGTGTTTCGGCCCCTTCCTGTTGCCGGCCTGGTCCTCGTGTTTCTTTTTCTTTCTTTTCTTTTTTTTTTTCTGTCTGTTTGTTTTGGTTTGTTTTTTGTTTTGATCGTCGGCCTCCCCTGTTTTTTCGATTGGGGATGGCACCACGATTTTTCAGAGCCCTACCCTCCTGATCAAGTTTTTGCTTCGCGAGATCTGATCCCACTGCGCAGACCGTACGTGGCAGTTATCTCGTGCCTCTTTTTTGTTTTCAAACTTTGGTTGCTTTGTGGCGTTTGTTGCGCTTCACACTTCTTTTGTAAACGTCCCCCTCCCTTCATTTTGTATTTGTTTTGAACGATGTGCTTGCCTGCGTGCGATCATGGTCACTGTGCCACCTTCATACCAGCACGTCTTGCTAGCTTTTTGGTTGACCCCTTGATTTCTATTAAAGCTTTGATTGTATTTTTTTTTTTTTTTTGGCCTGTCGTTTCTTTTTTTCCTGTTTTTGAGTCATATGCCGTCTGACTGCTTGCACCGAGTCAAAGGAGACGAGTTTGCGATGCGCATCTCCATCCTTTGGTCTTCAAATGATCATCGAGCTCCATGCTTGAACCATCAATTTTTTTCTCCTCCTCTTCACCGTTTTCCTCGCTCCCATGTTGAGTCGCGTGGGCAATGGCTTCTGCTGGACTTCAGGTGTTGTGCTTCGGCGGCAACCACCAAGAGGTGGACCGCGGTGACTTCAAGCATCCCGAGAACCATATTTCAATGGTTTGCCGAAATCGATTCCCCCCCCCCCCCCCGACCCCCCTCCTGATTCACGATCCGATCGAGCGTAATTAGCATCAAATTTTTGAAAATTCATTGATCAATACTGCCCGGGTCAGCCAGACCAGAGGTGAAGCCAGGGCACCAGCAAGCGGGCCCACAACGAATGGACTCGCATATAAACGCAAAGACAAGAGGAAAATGTGCAAGTGGGTTTACACAAGAAGCGCTCCAAAAGGCGCAATCGTTTAATTTACAATCCCAAAAAGGACAACAAGCCGCCCGAGGATGGTGACTTGGGAGCCTGCGCACGCAGCATAGATTTCAAGAAGTGAGTCTCAGAGCCCGCCAGCGGCCGGTTCAACTGTATGTAATGCCAAAGTATAATCTTCATACCTTGGCACCCAGGCTGGCCGCCCGCTCCTCAATCTTCTTCTGCGCTGTACTCCAGTGGCGCTGCGTCATCTGCAGAAGCGTCAACACAACCTATCGAACATGACATGGCATGAGACAAGGGCAACCCCAACCCATAGTAGTGAACTGCTGTTCAACCGTTCAAGGCTCCACCAACTGCTCGCACCTGGTTGGCTTCTGGAGTGGGTGCGTCACTTTGCTGGGCCAGCAGCAGTGGGGACAGCTCTTGGGCCAGGACTTCGGGCGGGCAAAGGTTTCGTTGGCCATGCGCGATTACCCTGTTAACCATCCCAGGATAGTGAGCGTCAATTCAAAGCGGGTGGTGCATTTCAATGTGGCCCGTGGCACCTGGCACGCACTTGCGGAAATGCATCATCAGGTGATGAAGGGTGAAAAAGTTGATCTCCGGCAGCATCTCGGCCACCGCAGTCACGGCCCGGCAGCGTGCAGCCGCATCCTGGTGAGCTAAAGAAACGTGATGGTCGATGAACAAATCCAGCCAAGCATCCATGGCATGCATGAGCTGGGCAAGCACCGTCGACTTTGGGCTGGGACGCAAAAACTGAATGCATGACGAGATAACGCACAAGCAGCATGCAAAAAGTCTGGCGTGCGATCACGCGTCAAGAGAGGCTCGCTCAGTTGGTGCAAGAAGCGAAGCAGGCAGTTGGTCAGCTCTTGTGGCTCCTTTGAAGTCTACAGGTTGGTATCAATCAGAGAAAAAGTTGAGTTGTTTGCATTCTCCAAATCGCATCATTCAAGAATAGCAAGAGAAAATTACCAGCGGAAAACGCTTGTTCTTCATGAAACGCCCCAAGAGGTCAAGGGCTGGGACCTGGTGCTCTGGCCTATGGCAAATGCAACGAGCCAGGTGGCGCAAAATTCAGAGTTTGATTCAGATTAGAGTGATTTTTTTTTTGTTTTTGAGAGGGGGGGGGGGTAATGGGAAAAGTGAAGAGTACATACGAGGCTCGATAAAGATGTGGCTGCCGCAGACAGTGATCTTCGATATGAGATGTGATCAAGGTCACGATGGCTGGCACCACACGTCCGGCTTCCGTCATGCTACTGAGCGAGATGGCTGTGTAGATGGTAGACACGTATGAGACCAAGCAGAGAGAAAAAAGAAACATGCATCGGCGGCGGTTCATCCTGTCACCCTGTCTAGGCTTGATTTGAAGCAGAGGCTCTGCAAAACGGCCTTACTTTGTTTGGCGAGCTTGCGTACTTGCTGCCAATGAGATCAAGATCAAGAATGCAGCGGCAGTTGCCAAAATAAAATCATGAGGGGTTGTTTGGAGGGGCTGTGGGCACACGGTTTGGCATCGTTCGTTGAGAAAAAGGGACGCACCGGGGAGAAGGTGGCCAAGACGCCGCATTCCTTTGGAGCGTCTTGCGCACAATCCGAGTGTGAGACCAGCTGGCAAATGCTGCAGCGAATGTAGCGCTGTTGAAAGTTGATGGTGCCACTGCACAGCTGGCAGGATTGGCGAATCAGAGCTAGAGGAACGAGCAGAAGCAAACGGGCAGATGATCAAAATTAGCGCCTGTCCCAACAAACACGAGCATTGCACATGTCAGAAACCTTACCGGTGGCTTCTCGAAAGAGGTGAGGCACTTGACGAGCCGAAGCATTGGGGGTTGGGCTGGCAGCGGCCTTGGTACCCGGTAAGCAATCGGATCCTTGGCTCGGGTGCTCGGACGTCGTTGGGACGATCGGCGCCATCATCGAGGGCGAATAGGGGACGTCTTCCTCAGCACTGGGGGCGGGGCGTGCATGGCCTGGCACAATTTGTAGTGGTGTCGAGGCGGCATTGTCGCACTGTCGTCGGCGTTGGGCCAAGATCTCCATAAGTTGAGGATCAGAAGGTGAGGCCATGGGGGGCTGCTTATGCTGATGCTAGGGAGTGTGCCAGTGCAAGGATTCAATGAATGAACGAGGGAGTGGGAGAAAGCGGGACGCATCGAGAAATCCCCTGGTGCCTCGATATGCTCCTGGGTTTTTCTCTTGGCTGCTTTTTGCATTCAAAACGGGTGTCCACGTGTTACTGCTCTTTGCGGTTCGATGCAAACTCACCGGTGCTGCGCGCGGAGAGGCCACGGCGCGCAGCGGGGAAGCACAGGCATGGGCAACTGCCGTGTCGACATCTGGTCCATTGGCGCTTCGACTGTCGATGGCGCAAGCAGGCGCAAGAGGCATAGAGTGAGAAGACGAGCCATCAAAGGCCTGGGCATCGTTGGGTCCGGTGGGGCCAGTCCATTCGTTGATGTGTGCTACGCACTTGGTCGGGCGACGGCGATTCGCAGGGGCAGCGGGGCGCTTGAATTGACCAGTCAGAGAAGGGGCCGTAGCCGCTTGAGCGCTGACGCGATCAAACTCAATGGACGTTTCCAAGTCGCATTCGGGCGGGGGTGGGGCAGAAGCCACGCGGGCCGGGCGACTTGAATGGATGGGGGTCGAGGGGGCAGAGGCTGGTGCGCTGGTGGGAGACTCGGGGCAGCTTCCCGCATTTTGCTGGGCGCGGCGCTCCCAGGCCTCCTGCATCCAGCGCGGGGCCTTGGCAGCAGCGGCGGCAGCGTCTTGGCGAGAGGGTATGGGAGAGACATCAATATGGGCATTGAAAGTTACACGGCGAGGGGAACGCGGGGAGCCAGCGGGGCTGGCGCTGTTGCTGGGCATGAGACGCAAGACATTGTCCTTGAGAATGCTGCGGCGGTTGTAATGGCTGGGTGTGGGCATGTGTGCCGCGGTGTCGGCTGAGGGTTCTGCAGTTGCGTGGGATGCGGCTGTTGGAAGAAACTTGTCATCACAGAGGTATTGTCGAATGTCTGCGAGCTGTCGTGGGGGTCTGAGTGAGCGTCACGCGAAGGGGGGGGATGGGAGTGGTATCCGATGGGAGGACATACAAGGATGGCGACGTTGTCGCGCTCCGCTTCGGCTTGGGCGGCGAGTTGTTCTTCCTCGGCCAACAACTGGCGAAGCTCTGCTTGATCTTGTTCCAGTGCTTCCTGGCGAGACTGGAGGGTGGCGGCTTGCGAGTGAAGCTGGCGCTGCTGCTTCTTGAGACGAGAAATTTCTGTTGCGGTGCCAACCAAACGCAACACAATCATGTCGCTCTTGAGCAGGCGGGCTCATCTGGTGCTTTGCATCTGGTTGCAATTGTAGGCAGAGAACACAAGGGTGGGAAGGAAGGAGCCTGGGCGAGGGCACACCTTGAGGGAAGTGGGGCGCTTGCCAGATGAAACGCTCGCCTTGCAGCAGGCGCTCGATGGCGTTTTTGTCTTCGCTGCCCAGAATCGGGCAGATGGTGCCCAACGCATTGCTAAAAACGAAAAAAAAAAAAGGGTCAATGATCATCGATCAGAGAATGCAGGGCATTTAAGCAGGGGCAGGCAGCTGGCGAAGCTCCGAGAGGGGGCTGACCTGAGGGCTTGGACGTGTTGTTGTTCGTTGTAGCAGTAGTGCCTGGTGATGTCCACGTTTTCATCAAACCGGGCGCAGAGGCCAAGGTTGGCCGGTGGCCCCGCCGCCATGCTTGACACGGGCAATGGCGCAGCAGGGGCTGAACCGCTCCGACTTGGCAATCGATGCTGGAATGGGGAGGAGCGGAAGCGCGGATGCAAGGAAGAAAACGCGCGCGCTGCTTCACGATCCAGAGCGCAGAGCGCCAATTTGAATTTACGCGCCAAATTCTTTTTGATGAATTTTGAGTAATTACACTTAAGAAAGAGAGGTCTTAACTTTACAAAAACACAGCAAGAATTCTAGTTTTAGAGCTAGCCCTCATCTCTGTCCGCAATTTGCATCATCAAGCGGTAACAACGTTAAACCCAAACACTCCCTGCCGATGCATGACACGCACCAGATCAAGTGTAACGTACTGTACACATTAACGCTGAGCCGGAATGGCTGCCCAATAATAAGACAAAAGATTTGTTTGGTCTCTCTGTCTCTGTCACTGTCTCTGTCACTGTCTCTGTCTCTGTCTCTGTCTCTGTCTCTGTCTCTGTCTCTGTCTCTGTCTCTGTCTCTGTCTCTGTCTCTGTCTCTGTCTCTGTCTCTGTCTCTGTCTCTGTCTCTGTCTCTGTCTCTGTCTCTGTCTCTGTCTCTGTCTCTGTCTCTGTCTCTGTCTCTGTCTCTGTCTCTGTCTCTGTCTCTGTCTCTGTCTCTGTCTCTGTCTCTGTCTCTGTCTCTGTCTCTGTCTCTGTCTCTGCATTGTCGTGCACTGCTGCTGCGAGGCCTTGAAGCTTTTTGGCGGATTATATTTTCTCCTTCTCCTGCGCCTCCTTCGTCACGGCTTTGCAGGCCCCCGGTTGAGGGACAGCCTGCTTGGGAGTGATAAGGGCTGGCATTGTTGGATTTGGTGCATGCCACGGGGTTGGCACCTTGGCACAGTGTCGCTGCGTCTCAGTGCGCGATCAGGCACTTTTTTTTTTTTTTCGTAACGAACCAGCAAGGCTGCACCTGCTGCTGCGCTTCGCCCCCGTGGTCGGCTGTGTGTGTGTGTGTGTGTGTGTGTGTGTGTGTGTGTGTGTGTGTGTGTGTGTGTGTGTGTGTGTGTGTGTGTGTTTTTAAAACACAGCTGCGTTCTCGCCCTGGACGCCCCGCCCTTGTCGCTGTCGATGCTAGCCACTGTCGGCATCACGTCTTTGTTCTGACTGATGGACCAAGGAGCGGTGGGTGTCCTACCTGATATCCCTCCCCCCCGCCTTTTGTGCTCTTGAGCGCCGGATCGTCCGCTCGCTGCTGGGGCCGCCTGCTTCACTCAGTGAAGCTGGCCCACTTGGTTCGTTCGTCCAAACCTCATCCCCCACCAGCCAGGTCAGCGCTCATCACCTGCTTTTCAATCCCTCGTTGGGCTGTCTCCTTTCCCTGACCCCAAAGCAACAAAGCCTCCCTCCCTCCCAACGACAAGAGAAAGATAAAAGAGGACGGAGGAAGGGCCGCCTCCGAAGCTTCTTTCTTCTTGGTTGCTTTTGGCATTCAAGCAGCTCTTGCTACGGGCTCACCACTGTTTGCTTCTTGCCTGGTGGTATTAGGCTCGATACTTGCGTGCCACTTTGCAACTTCACAGCACGCTCTTGACTGGCTGCCATTTCCAGTTGCTCTTGTCCGCAGCTGGAATGCGTTCGCTGGACCCCACCTTCCTGATCGGTGTCGTGCAATCCCTTCCTCGGCACCCCGTCTGCATTGCTGTTTTCGACACACCTGTCTCTAAAGCGTGACCGACCAACATGACAACCACTGAGACCGAATCACTCAACACGACCGACATGCTGGAAGACGGTCGGTTTCCCAGCGCTCTTGAGAACAAAGGAAATCGCATTCATGAACCAAGGGCGCGGCAGCATAACCAACCCACGGCCCATCTCCCGCGTTGCCCCACCGCCCTGCTCATTTGCTGGTGCCACTGCCCAACAGGAGCTCCAAACAAGGAGTATCACCTCGAAAAGCTGCAGGAAATCGAGACCGAGTATACCCGCATCAAACAAGAGTGAGTCTCTGGCCGATTCTGCTAGCCCTCCTCGCTTTTCTTTTTCCTTCCACAGCGGTCTTTTTCAGTGCAAGACCCCTGTTTGAATGATGTATGGGCTGTCCACGCGTGCGTGCGCTGATTTTCATCTCTCGATTGGGCTGGTGGACGACACAGAGTACTGGATAAGAAGATTGCAGCCGTGAGCGCCGCACTGGACCGACTACAGGAAAACAAACATGAAGAGGTGCATGCGCGACTTTTACAGCTTGAAGATGAAATCGAAAAACGCATGAAAGATGCTGGTTTGTTCCTCGCCCTGCATGTCTCCCTGCCCTGCGACCGATGACCTTTGAGGGTGACTGTTCACCGGCGGCAACACGCCTCATTTGCCCTCTGGTGCTCTGACCGCGGTTACTTCTCTTGCTCGGATTGCGGGGAACGGGGGTGATGACAGCTCGAAAGCGTGACAAGCAGGTAAGATCAGCCCGTTGCAAATCATTTCGCAGAGCCACAAAAGGCCTGCATCCAACCTCTCACGCACGATGTGGCCTGGTCTTCCCCTTGGGAGTAGCTCGATTCGGCCAAGGCCTGGCTAGACGCAGAACGCATTGCTTCCATCAACTCATACAAGGTTAGTACTCGCGCCTGGGCTGATCATGCTTGCCGCGCGCACGGCCCAAGACACCGCATGTTCACTCTGTTTGGTCCTTTTGTATGCAACAGGAACAATTTCGCTACGCGATTCGTAACCGTTTCGATGCCCTCTCTTGTCTGCGCTACAATCTGAAATTGGCCAAGCGCGATATGGACGCTGATCCACCTCCATTCGGTATGCCTTTGCCGCAACATGGCATGCCAGACTAGCCCGCTCGTTGTATTCACGGGCGCGTCATGGCCCCACTGTTTGAACATCATGCAGAAGCTCGTGTGTTCAAGGTCAAGAGTCGGATTCCCATCTGGAATGGAGAGTACGTGGCTGGCTCTCATCTCCACTCCAACATCACAAAACGCTTTCGCTTGGTCCAGTGGCTGTACCAGCAACCGCCCCCATACAGCTTGGAAAAAGAGGGGGCACCGGGCATCGCACGTGTGGTGCGCGCACAAGCTGTTCAGCCCCAGACAAACTCATGGCATACCGTGTTGCTCTTCACCTTGCCGCCGCAGTGCAAACCGAGCCTTTGTGCCCTTTGAGCCGGGTACGCAACCGGCCTCGCTTCAGGCCGAGCTGCATGCGGTCAAGCTCAAGGAGTTGGAAGAGGAACAGAATAGTGAGGCCATTCCCTTGGCAGTGGAGAGCAAGGATGAAGTCATCTCTACCACCCTGTCCAACGGCCAACCTGCCCGCAAAGCGCGCAAGACCATTTCCTGGACCGGCCCCTGCATCATCTATCAGCTCCAGGAACACGAGCTGGAGGATGACCTCCGCCGGATGGACGTGCGCATCAAGAAGAAACCGGGCCCCAAGCGCAAGTCCTCCACCACACCAGCTTCTGCCAAATAGCAGCAAGCATCAAATCTCAACCCGGTCCTGGTCCGCCAAGCGTGATCCCTCGTCCCAACACCTTGAATAGCCGTGTCTTTTGGCGGTGCCACCCATTTAGCGCAACCCTTGCACCGAATGAATAATTGACGCCGACCCTCTGTCCCCCAAAATTGCTCAGTCTCTGATCTCTGCCTGCATGACAGCCTCAGCCTCACCGGACATCCAAAAAATACACTTCACTGTCAAAAGGATGACGCAACCCAATCGTTGCCAGATGGAAATAATCTGACAACGCCAAGTGATACTGCCATTTAGTAGCAAGCGCTCACCTTCCCACGCGGGCACACACAACACACGCGCGTGTGTGGAAGTTTTTCCACTGACGTCCAGTGGCGCAAGTGTGTGTGTGTGTGTGTGTGTGTGTGTGTGTGTGTGTTGTTTGCGAGTCACCGCGACTCGATCAGCAGCGAAGCATGGCGGCGGCTGGACCTGAGATCGTGCTGGCTGGTGAGTTTTTGGTGCTGGGTTAAGGGATCTGTTGCTTGCGTTTGGTGTTGTGTTTTCCGGTTGTTGACCTTGCTCTTTGTTGCCGCAGCGCGCAGTTCAGATGGAATCAGCCTGACCCCTGGCGTCGAGGGTAGTCCCAGCTTCCTGTAGGTCCTGCATCTTGTCTTCGGCAGCCATCATTGTGAAGCCGCCTTGCCCATCTGACTGCCCGCGCTGCTGCTTTTTTTTTTTTTTTTTTGCTTCTTTTGCGCTAGAACCAAGCACAATGACTGCAAGTGCATGACCTTTAGCCAGGCCGGCGATATTCTGGCTTGGTGTGATGGAACAAAGTACGCATCCCATCCCCTTTGCACCAGTGCCTTTTTCCCCGCCGCATCAGCTACAAAAGTATCTTGTCTCTCGTGTCTCATCTCACCAACTTTTGCTTTGCCATTGACTCTGGGATTTGACAGCGTGCTGGTGCACCAAGTTTCGACAGGCGTCAAGCTGTGCGAGATTCCTCGCCCGCGCACCGTGGACCTCGTCCTGTCCCCGCGCCAAACCTACATTGCTCTGTGGGAAAACTATGCCGTGCGCGATGACAAGGGCGAGGACAACTTCACCGTGTTTCGTATCAAGGATGGCCAACTCCTGACCTCATGTGTGGCCAAGGCCTACAGCAACTGGAAGCCACAATGGACTGCCGACGAGCGCCTCTTTGTTCGCATGACTACCAACACCCTCTATTGCCACCCGGGTGATAATCCATCTGCTCGTAAGAGACACTTGCTACTCGCTATTTGTTATGATCCTCCACCACTGCGGGCTTCTGCACGACCACGCGTCTTCTCATTGGACGCCTTGCTCTTTGCTTGTAAATGTCGACGCTTCAGCGGCTGTGCAGACGATCCACGTTGAGAATATCCGATCTTTCTCATTAGCGCCAGGCGAAGGGGTGCTGCGCTTTGCAGCCTTCCAACCTGGTAAGAAGGGTGCGCCCTCGGCCGCCCGCGTGTATTCCGAGCCCAACTTTCAGAATCCCATTGCCAACAAGAGCTTCTACAAGGCCGATAAAGTCGACTTTTACTGGAACAAGTCAGGCTCGGCCGTCCTTGTCAGCACCCAGACAGACACCGATACTTCGGGCAAATCTTACTACGGCGAGACCAATCTCTATTACATCAACTCACGAGATGGTGACTCGATGACCGTGAGCCTCGGTGCGTCCTGTCATCACTGCATAGGCCTCGCTTCCCAACTGCCGTACTTTTCGATTCTGTCAAGCAACAGAGCAATGGATGCATGTCCACGCTAATCACAACCATTATGTTGGCGCTACGGTATAGACAAGGGTGGCCCGATTCACGATTGTCACTGGGCGCCAAATGGCAAAGAGTTTGCGGTGTGCTTTGGCGTCATTCCCTCGAAAGGTACGCTTAATTTGCAGCAGCGGTATATCAAAACATGCAATGAAGCGTGGTTTTCAGTCATGAAACCGCAGTCACCCTCACCTTCCTCTCCCTGTACATCCTTTGTACACCTTGTCCAGTGTGCCTGTTCAACCACCGTTGCGATGTCATCAAGGACTACGGCACTGGCCCACGCAATTTTCTTCGTTACTCGCCCCACGGCAACATTCTATGCATTGCTGGCTTTGGCAATCTCCAGTGAGTATTTTGCTTGCGCACAGAACAAATCAAAAGACAATTGTTGCAGTTTGATTTCCCTCTGCGCTGTGTTTGGGGTCTTTGGCTTCCACGCATTGGTACCTCTCAAATGAGGCTGGCGGGGCGGTTTTTCCGCCAATGCGCTTGTCCTTTTGGACCGATGCAAGATTGCATGGCGGGTATCAGCAGTTGGCCCATCGCTTTCTCCCGATCTGACCGACTCTAGAGCCCGTCGTACATTTCTTTTCGGCTTCTTGCCTTTCAAATGATGGTGGCAATGGCATTTAGCTCATGTGTCGTCTCACCGCGGCAAACTCTTTTTTTTGCAGGGGTGATTTGGAGTTTTGGAGCCGCGAGGACCACAAGCTCATGACACGGGCCAAGGCGTGGGATACCACATACTTTGAGTGGGCTCCCGACTCACGACACGTCATCACCGCAACTACAGCGCCACGACTCAAGGTGGACAACGGCTACAAAATTTGGCACTATGCCAAGGGTTTGGTCAACGAGGTCAAGTTTGACAAAGAGCTGTACCAAGTCCAGTGGCAGCCAGCGCCAGAGGGCAAGTTTCCCAAGCGCTCCCTCTCCCCCATTTCTGACACGGCCCGCAAGGCTACCGAGTCAAGCGCTAAGAAACAGGTTTATCGACCACCCGGGGCGCGCAACCGCCCGGCTCCTCCCAAGCTTCACGACGAGCCCAAGGCTGCGGCTGACACTGCCAACCTCAGCAAGACAGCTCTGAAAAATGCCAAGAAGAGGGCAGCCAAGAAGAAAGCGGCGGAGGAGGCCACCGCTGCTCCGGCTGCTGCTCCAGCGCCGACTGCTTCTGCTTCTGCTGCGCCCGAAGCACAGGCCGACACCAGCAAGAAGGTTCGCAATCTTACCAAGAAGCTTCGACAAATTGAAGAGCTGAAGCAGCGACAAGCAGCCGGTGAAGAATTGCAACAAAATCAGGTGCGACAATCAAGGCTGGGATGAGGTTCTTCTTCGCCCGCAAGGCTTTTCCTCGGGGTCACTCATGTCTTGTGCAATTTGCTGTTGTAACTGCTATGCAGCTGGACAAGGTAGCCACCGAGAGCAGTATTCGTGCCGAATTGGCGGCCCTGGAGGTTTAAGAGGCAAGCACATGCTGTATTATGCATGTACGCAGAGGTTGCATGATATTCAAGTTAGGAACGACTCGACCGACTATCCCACACGTTTAAGCAAATCCTCCCACTCCCCCCTTGGGGCTGTTTTTAAGTTTTTTGAAGAACCTTCATGTACTTGCGTTCAGGCTCTCTTTCCCTGTGATACACTGCCGGAGAGTTGTTGTCCAGACTTGGCGGAATGTTTTTTGTCCAGTTGCCTCGTGCTCTTTCATCGGGGTTTTGGCCCCAAGTCAGACCAGGGGCTTTGTTCATCTTTGGCGAGAGCTGCGCTGTCGATTGTTGTGCATCCCAGTTCCATGTGACGATCGCAATGTCGATTGTTCCTTTCTTAAGCATGGTGTTGGTGTGAGTGAGATAATTCAAAGCCAAAATGACTAATGATGAAAACAATGATGGAAAGTGTCAGCGTGTACGGGGTGGATGTCTCAATTCACAACAGTCAGGGAGAATGGCGCACGGCGCCGGCAGTGGCTCAGCGTTGGACCGGGCAAAACCCTTAATCGTCAAACTTGAGTCGTTTGGGCTTGGTGCCCTCATCCTGACCGCTGGAGGTGGAATGTCCTTTGGCCGAGCTTGTCGGGGGTGAGTTGCTTGGTGCATCCAAACCGAGGGGCAGCTGATCTGGCGGCGTGGGCCCGGGTGCTTCTGAAAAATAGGGGTGCATAAGAGTCTAGGATTGAGGGGGGGGGGTTATCAAGAGGTGTGAGCATACACGATGACGATGACGACCCACGGTTCGTTCGGCACGTCGAGCGATGTGATGCAGGCGCTGATAAAATGTCAGTTGTCAAGAACAAAACAACAGTGCAGACCTCCCGGGCCGTGGGTCGCTTCAGAGGATCGTAGGTAAACTGCTTCTCCAGGAGATCAATGGCAGCATCTGAGACGGCTGGTAGCAGCGCCTGCCAGTTGCGGAGTAGTGGTAAGTGGCAGGGCGGGTCGAGCAACGCCAGAAGCAAGGAATGCTCCACACCAAAAGTCGGTGGAACGCACCCGAATCGGGGTGGGGTCCCGTGGCTTGAATTCCCAAGAACTGGAGAGCTCGCGATAGTTCTGCAAGAGAGGGCGTGGAGTCATTGAGCATGACCGTGTGCCAAAGCCGCCAACGCCCGTGTGTCAAGCAGGTATGAGAGCAATGCCCGTGAGTGGCAAAAAGCATCGGCCCAAGAAGAGCATGCAAACGACTAAAGAGAGAGAAAAAAAAAAGCAAGTCCTGAAACCGGTTGGGCAAATGCGTGGCCAAAGCTGGATACTAACGGGCCAATTTTCATCGTTGATGCTGCCACGAAAGGCCATGATTTTGTCCAGTTGATCAAAAGGACCGTCGCCGGGCAAGATGGGTGTTCGCAGTTCAAGCTCCATGTGAATGCAGGCCATGGCCCAGATGTCCACGCCAACGCCGTAGTGACGGGCGCCAAGCAGCAGCTCAGGGGCTCGATAAAAGCTAGGGAGCATGCAGCTTGTTAAGCAAGGGCAGTGGGTGAAAGCAGGCCATCGGCAGCAAGTCCATCAAAGCTTACATGGTCACAACTTGGGTGGTCATTTCCCGTGAGGGCGAGCCAAAGGTGCAAGCAAGCCCAAAGTCGGTGAGCTTGACCTGACCACCGGTCGTGATCAAGATGTTGTTGGGTTTGAGGTCCTGTACAGCAAACAGAGAGACATGGAAACATTGGGCTCGAGGGTTAGAGGAGGGTGTCAAGCAGGCTCGGGTTCAGTGGCCGTAAACTCGTGGCAATCATGCGTACGCGGTGCAGAATCCAGCGAGCATGTAGATAATCTAAGGCTTGGTAGGTTTGCAAAAGCAGGGATTTGACGTCGCCGGGCGCAAAGTCGAGCCGCTTGTTGCGGATGAGTTTCTGTTGTAGATGCCACAGAGACATGAGCAAAAGGTTGGGGGTCCTGGCGACGGTCAATACTGGGCAGAGGTAAGAAAGTACCTCGAGGTCTGTTGAAGCGAGCTCTAGGACAAGGTGCAAATTGCCCTTTTTCAAAAACACATCGTGTAGCTGCAGCAGCAACGCACCGAGGGCAGGTGACGATGAAGGCAGTTGAATGTCACCCCTGGCCAGCTGTCCAAAAGCAAAAGAAAACGCCCAAACTGCCCAACTGCCCAACTGCTGTGCCTTTCGACCAGAGAATCGACGGATTGACGGCAGAGCCAAAACAGGGATCACCGTACGTCAATGATGTTTGGGTGATGGACTTCGCGCAAGAACATGATTTCACGAAAGGCCGACTGATTAAGCCCTAGATATGCAGGCCACCAGGTGCTTGAGCCCAAACTCGAGCTCGTCACACAGGCTCGAGAGGTCTTCAACAAGACGACGGGCCGAGGCCCACGCGAGGGGGGGGACGCTATGCGCACCTTCTTTGGCCATGCTTTTATCACCCAGGCGAATCTGCGAGCCCAGGAGCAGGCCAGTGAGGCTGCTGACTCGAGTCAAGGACACAGCAAGCAGACCGGCGACGCGGATGGCTCGAGCCTGACGAACCCGCTTGATGGCGTAGAGTTGACCCGTCTGCGAATCACGCTCCAGGTAGACAGTCCCAAACTGTCCCTCACCCAGATATTTGACCTTTTCATACCCCGCCTTCTTTGCCCCGCTGCCCTTTTTACCCGCAGGCCGACTCCCCTTGACCGTCGTCGCCATCGCGCCGATATATTGAGAGAGAAAAATGAGAGAGAGAGAGAGAGAGAGGGAGAGAGAAATTTGTCTGACAAAATACTTCTACGTTGTCTTACCTTTGAGAGATTCTTCTGCTTTGCCATACGTGGTAGTTTTACAATACGGTCTCCTTCGCTCTTTAGGGGAAAGAGTTTGGCTTTTGGGTGTGCTTGTTGCTTCAAGAGCAGATTGATGAGGGGAAAGAGGTGGTGGAGCTCAGACCCAACTGCCCGAGGCGTCAAAGCAGTGTTATCGTGTGCTTGCAAGGCAGAGTCCGGCTTGCACTGACAGATGAAGCGCGTTGTGAAGAGTGTCATGGGCAGAAGAACAAGACCACCAGGTGTCGGCATCACTTCAAGGTATTCGGTGTCCCTCATCTTGAAGTACATGTGGCCCCGTTTGTGCTGATTTAATCACTATTCTTTCCCTCGACTGCTTCCTTTGAAGGTGCGCTGAGCTGGTATGGCAAGTCTGGCAAGAGCCTGATGTTTGAGCACACTTGTCAATTTTGTCCGTCTCAGACGGCAGTGCACACGCACGAGTCAAATGCACGGCGGATCAAGCCGTCACATTTGCGTTGACTGCCGCCTACACAACAACAGGTACTGGACGCAACTACCACACACACAAAGATGCACACACTTAGGTAGAGCGCTGCTTATCTGCTAGGAGCTGCTCATCCTCCTCTGCATCGAGGGCCATCACGTCCAGGATGGAATCCAACTTTTTGAGGTCGGGCAGGTTGCCGTCGAGCTTGAGGTGGCGAAAGGGAATGCCTAGCTGCTCCAGAGCCTGTGCCATGGGACCTCGCTCGTTGGGTTGGAGGAAGGACACGAGCACCACGCGCACGTTGGGTGCCACCTCAGTTTTGTACTTGTGTAAAAGAGCAGGAAAGTACATATCATCCACCTTGACGTTCTCGCGCTCGTCGCTGACCACAACCAAGTAGCGCAGCTGACGTTGCTGCTCGTAGTACGTGCGCAGAGCAGTCGCCGGCGCAGTCTGGTGCTCGGCCCGCACCGTGGTGGCTAACTTGAGCACCTCGGGAACTGAGCGGGGCAGTGACGCTACGGGCTTAGCCTCAGTGTTGAAAAAGACCAAGTCCGCCTCGCAGAGTGAAGCCACAACCGAAGCCATGATGATGGAAACACGAATCGCCACGTCCATGGATGAGGACGCGTCGCCCAGAACCGCAATCGGAGGCTGCAAGGGCAAGCGCAGCGCATGCAGCTTCTGCTCGGCGAGGGGCAGCAGTAGAGGCAATAGCTCGCTGTCAGGGTGCGTGGTTTGGAGAAACAAAAGGCGTTCCATCAGCTTGCCATAGTTGAGGGTAATGCAGTCGGCCCCGAGCGTCTGCACGCGGCTGGCCACCGCGGCATCAAAGCCCTGGCAGCGAAGTTCGTGATACCACCACAAGCACTGATCCAAAGGAAGATATTCAGCCAATTGTAGCTTGGTGGCCTGGCTCAGCTCGAAGTGGCGAACACGAGTGCGCACGAAAGAGTAAGGCGGTCGATGCTGGCGGATAATGGCCTCGGCATTGCTGGCACACAGCTGCGCACACTGCGCTAGCATGTGTTCGTCGGGAAGGGGTTCACCAAAAACGCGGGGGATAAACCACGGCAACTGAAGCTGGCGTGGGCTGAGATGAATGAGGTCACACAGCTCCTGCCATGGCTTGGTGGGCAGCTGCAGCGCAAAATATTCGAGCTTGGAGGCCGCCACTGATTTGAGCATGGCGCGTAGGCGCCGACACAGGGCTCCCGACAGCGATATATCAGGAACAAAATCCTTTTGCAGCTCCTTGACGCGCTCTCGTAGTGCCCGAATTTGGCGCAAGGCGCGGCGCAGCGCAGCGGTTGGTTTAAATGAAGCGGCCGCACTCGAGGAGAGCTCGGCTGATGCGTCTGCTTGATCGCCGTCCTGGTTCGTGGCCTCGGGGTTCTCGTGAGCGACGGCCTCGACAGGGACATGATGGCGATGCCGGCCACGATAAAGGCCACGTCCCCTCCCACGTCCGCGGCCGCGTCCCCGACCGCGTCCTCGGCCGCGTCCCTGCACCCGACGCGCCGTTGCCTCTTGTTGCGGGGCCGTAATGGTGTCGAGCAAGTCCATGTTCATACCCATGCCAGGCAACGCATCTTGTGTCGCAGCAAGCTTGGACAAGCATTGACGCACTTCACGGCCGGTGTCAAGCAAACGCACTGCTTTGAGCAGCTCAGGAAGACCAAAGACATCGGCCTGTCCGTTGTCTGGGCCCAGCAGCCCAGTGGAGGCTGGACCAATCATGTCATTGACCAGAGGAAAGTCCCGGCGCGCCAGTGCAGCAGCCAAGGCTCGGGCCTTGTTGCCATAGCTCATCTCGATGCGGTTGATCAAAGCGGCTCGGAGCACCTTGGTATAAGCTCCTGACACCTGATTTTGAGCATCAAGATGTTGCTGAAGGGTGCTGCCTTCTGTGAACAGGAGCTCGCGGGCCCGAGTCAGGTCTGAAACAAACTCAGCGCGCGGGAAGGCTGGTAGATGGTTATAGTTTGCAGCGTAGTCGGGAGGCATGCCATTGCTTTTGGCCAGCTGAGCTAAATCATAAGCTGGTGCCGCGGCGGGCTCATCGGCACCTTCGAGAAACCGTTTCGCAGCCTCGACCTGGTTATCGCACATGCCCAACACCATGGCCAAAGTATCCCGATCGGGCACGTGGGTGCCTTGACGAAAGTACCGCTGGAGCTCGCGCACACCCTTTTCCAGGCGCTCGCGTGCTTCATCAGCAGGATCGGCCGCATTGGCGGGCATCGCAATCACCTCAGCCATCTTTGCAGGCAGGTGGTAGCGTAGGCTTCTTTCTTGAGTTGTCTCGTCCAACCACTTGCCAAGACGCAATGGTCACCGATGAAAAGGAGGTAAGAGGATCGCCGATCGTGACAAATGTTCCTGAACTAGACCGTTCAACCCGTTCACTGTGATGGCATCAATACAAAATGGCCCCACCGCCTTTATGCGCCCCACCCACCACGACCTCAGAGACACCAACTTCGGCTCGCCCCAAGCGGCCATAACGATACGCGAAAGAGACTCCTTGGGCTTTTTATCTGACAAATGAGGAGTAATACTTCACATGTATGTGTGTGTGTGTGTGTGTGTGTACCACCTTGTGCTTGCTTGGATCTGAGTGACGTGGGATTTGGCTCATGTTGTGCTTGGACTCTGTTCAAAGGGGTTTGTTATTCATTTCAACTTTTTTATGCAGAGTCGTTGCACCACAATGTGCGCATGGCGCCGAGGTGAGAATCGGAGTGGGGCGTAAAGGAAAACACTGGAACAAGCAACACTAGCAAACAGGTGACATGGAAAACATTAAGCCCGCACGCGGTGCCCTTGGACTTGCTCAATCGCGCTCAGCGATGGCGTTGAGATGCCTGCCGCGAACAAAACCAAAAGTGGTGACCAAGAACAAAACGGATGAGAACACCATCAAGTCAGCTTGAGCACAGGTCGACGCTGAACCCTTGCCAACGCAGTCGCAAGCAAGCGCGAGAAAAAAAAAAAAAAAAAGGTCTCTTGCCGAAGGCCCTTCTCTGGAACGCAAAAATAAAACAGCAACCGACTTACGCTTCAATCTCTTGCTCCGAGAGGGTTCGGAACTTGGGCTGGTCGATGGTGACCACGCCCACCTCGATCTCGCTGGGCTTGAAGTCTTGTGAGAGAAGCGTGCTGAGGTAAGAAATGGCCTCCTCAATGCAGCGAACACCCGCAAGATCGGGATTCTTCTTCATCTTCTTCTCGAGCAAGTTGTTGGCCTCAACCATCTTGACACCTGCTGCACAGGCCTGCGCATGTGCACGCAGGCACGCAGACAAGAAAGAGAAAGAAAGAGAGATAAAAAAAAGGATGAGCGTGTCAGGCGTTATACCACAGAGAGCCAAAATGAGACGAAATGGGAAGGGTGCCTGAAAAAGGCCTACTCTGGTGGACAACAGCATATATGTACAAGCGCATTCGTGCACAACGTCCGCCAACACAATTATCTCACCTTGTAGCCCACGTAGTAGCCGGCAGGGTCTGACTTGAACAGCTGGGGACCGCGTTCCTCATCGATGCCCACCAAGATCATGGCTAGCATGACAACCCACAGCAAAACCCCAAAGCAAGGCAAGCGCAAGAGTGTGTCAAAAATCAGTGCATCCATCGGTCAGCCATGCAAGAAAAAAAGAAACATACAGCAACCAAGCGGGCGCAGAGAGGCCTCTTGCGTGTTGAGCTGCGACAAATCTGCCACGCGCTTGGCCTGCCAGGGTAGGAAGGCGAGGAGAGCAAAGAAAACAAGCCGGGAGGGGCATGAGCTGAGTCAGCGAAAGCCCGAAAGCGGGCGCGTGTGTGTCACTGCACCAGCCAGTCACCCATCTCATACCAATTGATCTGGGGGAATTTCGTAGCCAAACTTGTATTTCCATTCGGCCGCCTCGTAGCGCGCACGGCGCACCTGGTGACGTGCGTCGGCTGTGGAACAGGGGCATGTCAGCAGACGGCTAGCCAATGGACATTGGGAGCAACGGGGTTGACATTAACTGTTCGTGTTGTCGGTGAGACCATTCGTACCAATCATGCCCGTCATGACGCAGCCGATGTGAGGCGTAATCTTGAACATGTGGGTGACCGTGTCGGCCACAATGAGTTTATCCGGGACCTTCTTCTGGGTGACCACAACGGCGCAGTCCTTGCCGCGGATGCCAATGCTGGTCACATTCTCCGTGTTGATGGCCTTGAAGGCATATTCTACGCAAACGGAAAAGGGAGAACGGCAAGCATTCCACCGTGCAAACAGGTTTGGAAGCATGAGAGAGCGAGCAGCACCGCGCTGGTAGCTGGTTTGGTAAGGAGGAGAGATGGTCAGAGGTTTGGCGAGTTGTGGGACAATGTCACGCCGTCACATAGGTGATGTGGCAGAGCCAGTGGCTCCATTGAGACAAAATGATGGGCCCGAAACCAAGGAGGGGGTATCGCGTGCGTTTTATATCGTACCAACTTGATACAGGCGTCCTTCAGGAGAAAAGACGGTCAGGTGACGGTCATAGCCGGCCGAGGTGCCCCGAGACATGTTGGGAGGTCTGACGCAGTGACAAGCTCGTCGGGCTCAGTCTGGGCTCCTTCCTCTTTTTTTTGACGCAAACTGGCCGTAAGGACGTGCAGACCAGCCACCAAACCGACCGCGGTCTGAGCCTGTACTGGAACGCTAAGCTCTTCCTGTTCACAACGGTCACCGGACGTGAACAACAGCGACGACGACGACGGCGACGACGACGACGGCAGCACCAACAAGAGTATCGATATCGACGCCGCCGAACAAGTGACGAGAAACACAGTGAGAGAGAGAGAGAGAGAGAGAGAGAGAGAGAGAGAGAGAGAGAGAGAGAGAGAGAGAGAGAGAGAGAGAGAGAGCAACTCACACAGAGATGTGTGTGTATTCTGAGTGTCAGACAAAAAATTAAGCTGTGACTGAATGTCGCTTAGTAGCAGAGTTGACAATGACAGATGGTATCACCAGGGAACAGACGTGGGTCTTCGAGTCTGCGAGGAGACTGGTAGTTGCCATATCACACGAGGTTTCAACCTCGTGACGGGCACTTTTTTAACCCCTCCTTTGGTCAAGATGGCGGCCTCTCAGAAAGGTGCGTTCATGCTGCCCCCGTCTCGCCGCGCTTCTGGCGCGACTCGTGGTCATGCGCGATGGCATCGCATGAGTCGAAAGGGCAGCCCATTACCTTGAGACATGCAGCTGCGTTGTGTAGCACGCTTGTACCAAGGACAGCGCCTTTCCACGAGTTTGGGCTGCCCTTTATGAACCCATGACCACATGTGCGACAGTTTGAGCTCAGCTCGAGCAGGCCCAAAAGGCTGCCTTCTGGCGACCGCACACATTCGCTGGCAGCTCAAACACGCCTTCTCTTACCCCTTGACCCTCTGCAGCCAAGTCGGCGCAAAAGGCTGCTCTGGCTGGCGCCAGCAGCAAGCGCACCGTCAAGGTCCGCACTAGCGTCAACTTCCACCGGTGGGTAGCTCGTTCTTCCTGTTGGTCTTTTTTCCTGAACTAGAGCCTAGCAGCTTGTGCCAGCTGCCAGATCAGGGCAGGACAGGGCAATCCCAAAGCGTGCATGTGCACCCCCGTACGAGCTGGGGGCCGTATGCAGAACAGAAAGGCTATATCATGTGGTGGGAGACCCATGGAAGAAAGTTGGCAACGCATGTTGGATGCTCGGGGGCCGGTGATTGTGAATGGATCAGTGTCTGCACCACCGGCTCCATCCTGGTCCCCGAGATCCTACACTGGCTGTCTTTTGGAAAGCAGAGCACACACGGGAGCTGTTTCCTGTCATCTTCTGATTGTTGGTGCCTACACACGTGATGCTCATCGTTTTCCATGCGCTTGTTGGATGCCGACTTGATGTAGACCAAAGACGCTCAAGCTGGCTCGCACCCCCAAGTATGCCCGCCAGTCCCAGCAGAAGGAGCGCAAGTTGGACGAGTACACCGTTGTCCAGCACCCTCTGACGACCGAGTCGGCCATGAAGAAGATTGAGGACCACAACACCCTCGTCTTCATTGTCGATCGCCGCTCCAACAAGGGCTCGGTGCGTTGCGGTGGTTTTGATGATCTCTCATCCCCTGTCGACTGTGCCTTGTTCTTGTCCATCTGCTACTCGCCTCTTCTCATTTCATCTCCAAACTTTTTTTCTTTATCTGCCCTGTTGCTGCCAACAGATCAAGCAGGCCATCGAGAAGCGTTACGGCATCACCGTCGCCAAGGTCAACACCCTGGTGCGCCCTGATGGCAAGAAGAAGGCCTACGTCCGCCTCAGCGCTGATGCTGATGCGCTCGAGGTTGCCAACAAGGTTAGCCGGATCGTTCCTCTTTCCCGTCTCTAGGGTTATGTTTCAGTCATACCTGTGTCCCAGCTGTTTCACTTGGCCAACTTCATGTTTTTGGTTGCTCACTGCTCGTGTCTGTGTGCGCTCTTTGCAGATTGGCATCATCTAAATAGACCGGACGTCAATTGAGACCACTTCTCAATCTCTCTGTTAGCATGCATTGTTATTCATCGTGTCATACGTATTGCTCCATTCTACATACATACATGCGGACAGACACACACACACACACACACACACACACATGATGAAGATGAGGATTATTACACTGACAGTCGGTTTTTCAGAGAGACTGCTCGCGTAACGTGCTGGCCTGACCTCGACGAGGCCAAAAAGCTTTTCTGTGTTTCGCGTGTGGCTTTGACTGCGCTGCAAACACTGCTGTTCTGAAAGCACCTCCGCTGGGCCGCATACCCTGTCCTTCTCTGCATCCACGATAGTTTATTGCTTGGTGTGTTGGCTGAGGGTTTGTGGCCGTGAATCGCACGCGCCCACAGCTAAAGCTTTTCAAGACGCTGTCATCTGCTGGCCGTGAAGAAGTCCATCTTCACTCTACCCGATTCTTTTAGACTCGCACAAGCAGCCTCTGGGGTCCTGCTGCACAGCATCATCCTTCTCCTTATCTAACAGGCAACACCCATACAAGCCATATGCGCAGAAGCATTTCGTTGTGATGATGAAAAAAGAGATCGAGAGATGATGATGATGACGAGAGAGAGACAGCTGCTCAAATCAGACAAAGAGACAAAGACAAAGGGTTTGAAGAGAAAGAGAGACAGACAGACAGACAGACAGAGACAGAGACAGAGACAGAGAGAGACTTAGCGACGAATCGAATTCGGTCAGTGCGTGAAACGACGGAACAGCTGCATTTTTTTTTTTTTAAATTTTATAACATTGATTGACCTGACGCGGAGAAGGGCATTCGAGGACGTTGGCAGGTTGTGGTTGACGGCCTTGTTGAGGTTTCGATTCGCCCATGTGGACACGCGCTGCGGCTGTTGTTGGACGAGGCGCCTCCGGCATTTATAGGGCTCCACGGGTTACATTTTCGCTTCCAGGTGAGTTGGGTCGAGGCCTCCATGGCCGCCCAGCCACTGGCGAGGTCGCACGCTCACATCGCCCCATTGCAACCTCTTCTCTGTTCCTAGCTTTGTTGCGCACCACTGCCACTAGCACCATGTCTGGCGGACCCATTGAACTCTTTATCAAGGCCAGCCCCGACGGCCAGGGCCGAGGCGACTGCCCTTTCTCGCAAAAGGCCAACATGGCCCTCCGTCTTGCGGTGCGTTTGCCAGCACATTTGATCAGTCTTCATCCCAGCTCCTCGGTTGACGGAGGGCCGAACCACCGTGACCGTCTCGGCTGTCAACAACTCACAACTCACAACTCACAACTCACCTTCTTGCTACCTCGATGACAGGGCTACTCCGTGCAAGAGATCCCCATTGACTTGAAGAACAAGCCTGAATCCTTCCTCAAACTGACCAAGGCTGGGTCGGCTCCGGTCATGCGCTGCGGTGATCTCGTTCTCACCGACTCGGAAGACATTGTCCAGTGGGTCGCCGCGCAGCAAGAGCAGCAGGCTCAATCCAGCACCATCAAGTCCAGCGAGAAAGCGAGTCAGGTCGGCGGCAGCCTCTTTCCGGCTGCCAAGAACTGGTTCATGAACAAGGTACTCGCCAGCCGGTGGCTCATAGCTGCTGTAGGTTGTTTGGCATGACACGTGCGCACCGAGCTCATTGTGAGCCTACCCATGCAGGATGAAGGCAAGGAGGCAGAGCTACGGGCTGAGTTTGAGAAGGCCTGTGCCGAGGTCGAGCAATACCTTGAGGCTAACCAGACGCCCTTCTTGGATGGCGAGGGCCCTTCGGCCGCTGACTGTGCCCTCCTGCCCAAGCTCTATCATGCCGTGACCATCCTTGAGCATCAAAAGCAGTATCAAACCCCCGGTAAGGACTGATCAGCCCCCATACTTGTTTTGCCCGTCGCACCATTCAAAGCCTGACATCCCCCAATGGCCCCCCGGAGCCCCCACTCATCTTGCTGTTGCCATGATATGCCGGCAGAACACATGAAACTCCTCCGCGGTTACATCGAGCGGGGTTTCAAGTGCCAGCCCTTTGAGGACACGACCTATCCCACCGAGTACATGATTCAGCACTGGTCGGAGAAGCGGGATCAGCAGTAGCTGCAAATCAAACGTCGATTGCTCCAGGGACCTGCTCGACCCTGGGCACCACGGCACGCTTGCCACAGTTGCGTATGTGAAGCCTGTAATTCATGTCCAAATGTCAACACATTCAATTATCGTTATCAGCAGCACATAGAAAAGGGAGCCTCGGACCCGTGTCGAGGTGCCCACGCTAAATAGAATACCACAGTTGGACATCACATCAGCTTCTAAACGTGGGATGGCCGACGAGCACTGCGCAAAGCAGACTGTGTCAAACTGCCATTCAAAGCAAAGCCAGTGGCAAACGCCAAGTAATTGTCCGGATACACGTAATCAATCTTCGTCCCCACCAACTCGAGCGGGCCAAAATTGGGCAAGGGGATACCCGCTGCCAGGGCGTCGTTTAGGAGCGGCAGCAAAACCTTGGCAAACAGGTTGTCTAACAAGGGATCCAGCTGGCTGACATTATAAACGGGAACCAGGGCCCATTGTAGCCTGTACCGGAGCGCATAGGTCACAATGAGCCCGAGAGGCGCTTGAGGGGCGTTGCAAGGAGGCGAAGAACGTATTGACATGGAGGGGGAATGAGAACGAACCCAGGATCGACGTTGATGGCACTGATCTGGGGCACGATGGTCCCATTGCGCAACTGCACAGAAGCGGTAAAGTTGGCTCGCAGAGAGAGCATCATGGCCGGGATGCTTGCGGGTGTTGGTGCGCCTAGGGAAGCCAGCCGCACACACACAAGATGGTAAGTCTGTCGAGGGCTCCCTCATGCTCTCCTCACTCACGCCCATGCCACTCGAACCTTGCAGAACAGAGACGTTGCAGCCAAAGGTGATGCTGGCCGTCAAGGATGCGTCGGATGTCACCATAAAGGGCTCGAAGCGCTCCACAAAGGTGGTCAGGGTCATGGCGTCATTTGGGAAGCGCGCGTATAACTCTGGCAGCAATGTTTTGAAGAATGTCGTGTTGAGCTGGATGTAGCGAGCCACGGCCGGGGGGAGGGTTGCATTCGTCCATGTGGCGTTGAACTCGCCTGCCTGAACCCAAGTGCTAATGAGCGAGGTCAGCAGATAAGGGTCCACAAAGACGGCAAGCATGTCTTGGGATTGATTAAAGCTGGCAGGCAGGGCCACGGGCAGCTTGGCATGAGGTGCGGCTGCCTCTTGGGGGTGAGCGGCATCATAGATCTCTGCACCAGAGGACACGAGAATGGCCTCGGTTGTGACCAAAACCGGAACTTCCTGTGACGTGTTGGTGGTGACATTAAGCGGCGACAGCACCACACAATCACTGCCTGCTTCGCACAGGCGCAGCTCCACCTTGCCACCTCCACAGCCGGACTGGTAGCGCAGACGCAATGGATAGTAGACGCCTGCAGTGGCATTGAAATATGCCGTGGTGTCGGTATGATATTCGGGCCAGCACATGCCCGGGTTGTCTATCGTGGACGCAGCAGCGGCAAAAAAAACTGTGGTGAGCGGCCACGAACCGTCTGCCTGTTCAAGAAACACCAGGTGGCATGACAAACAAAAACAGAAGGAACGCACGCATCTCCAGCTTGCCGGCGCTGAGGCCGTTGATTTCGACAAGCGAGTCTTGATCATGATGGACTTGCATGGCAAAAGAACCGCTGAACTTGGGCAAAAAGTAGCCCGAAACGTCAAAACTATCATAGGCGCCCACGCTGAGACTGAAGGCTACATGAAAGCGAGAGGGAGACAAGACAGACAGACAGACAGACAGACAGACAGACAGACAGACAGACAGACAGATTGGATGGGGTGAGGTGCAAGTGCGCACATTCACGCAATGATACACGACAAAGTGCGGTGAGGCCTGAATACAAAGCACGCAGCAAGGGAAGAGCCAACGCTGCTTGTTAACAACGCACAAGTGAAAAGGACGGCGCGGTGGTCACCACTAAAGTGGTTGTCGCTGTAGTGATACCCCGCCAGTCCTTGATTATTGCTGGTGTTGACGAGCGCATAGTCGACCACCATGCTGTTACCAAGGGGCAGTTCGACCGGCACCTCGGGCAGAACCTGATGATGGGAAGGAAAAGGTTGAGGACGGGTATGAGTGAGACAAGGCGACCAGAAGGAAGCTACAAGAGGCCGTGCCTCTTGAGGAGGAGTGCAAAAAATGTTACAAAAGGATGCGCCGACTAACTTTGGTGGCGAGTGCGTTGATGGCATCGCCGATGGCTTCGGAAATGACCTTTTCGAAAACAGAGCGGAGGGGACCAGAGATCATGTTGACAATGGCTTGGTAAAAGCTCGAATCCCCGCCATCAAGGATGATGTGGAAGTTGTGGACGTCGAGCTGGCATGTGGGCAGGGCCAGAGAAAGGTGGCCGTCTTCAGCACTGAGCGCCAGCTGGATGGTCAGGGAAGTATCATTGAGAATATCACGGGCGGTGCCCTCGATCTTGATCAGGCCGTCATGGTAGCGCCAACCCATGTCAGCTTCAATGTCCATGTTCTGTGCCGTGATCATGACGGACGAGGGGGCGGCCAGCTGCACATCCTCATCGTTGAAAGCAAAGCGCTTGACGGTTATGTTGGACAGAAGGATTTCAATGCCCAGCGCGCCGACCTTGACATCGGGGATGGTCACGGATGTCACGGCTTTTTCAATGACGGGGTTGACCAAGTCCTGGGGGCAGGAAGGGCGTTGTGGATGAGGCTGGACAGCGAATCAAGCGGCAAAGCGTGCCTGGTCGACCAAATGCAAACGCCTCGACTCGCGTCGATCGCGAGGCGTGACACCGCAGAGAACCAAGCGCTTCGGCCTGACCTTGATAAATTCGACGCCACTCTCAGCCAAAGCAAATTTGAGGCTTGCAGGCCGATTGTAATCCTTCTGCCCGACCACAGCTGCCACCCCAACCGCCGCCACCACCACCAGCACCATCACCAGCCGCGGGCATCCCACCCTCTGACCAGCAACCCCCATGGCTCCCCGATCGCCAACCACAGAGAGAGAGAGAGAGAGACAGACAGACAGAGAGAGACAGAGACAGAGACAGAGACAGAGACAGAGAGAGAGACACAGAGACAGACGGTGAGAGACGGACGGTGAGAGATCGAGAGATCGAGAGGAAAAGTGAGAGAGACAGACAGACAGAGAGAAATGGCCGAGAGCGCAATCAATGCACAGCAGTTTCAAGGATAGAAATGTCAGATTAATCATTCATGTCACACACACACACACACACCCGCACACACACACACGCACACGTTAGTGACGCTTTTTTTTTCTTGTAGTTCAGTCCGCCGATGTGAGAGAGGGACCGCTCGGATGGGCAATCAGGGCAGTAGCTTTGATTTGCAGGCGGCGCAGGCTCAGCTGGCGCAAGAGGCAGCTGGTAAGGATGGAGCTACCTCACATGCCAGCGCGGAAGAGGTCATCAAGCGCAAGTCGCAGCGGCGCAATAGCTTCTCGTAAGAGATGCCTCAACAAGCACCCCACCCCGCTCCTCTGGCCATCCGTCCCATGCTCATCCGTGTGCTCATCCGTGTGCTCGTTCCCGCTGCTTTCCTCCATATAACGCACTGGTTTGGCAGAGGACTGGCCTTTCACCGATCTTCATCCTCACTCAACATCTCCGCCACCAATGGAGACTCGGGCACCGCCACGAAGAAAAAGACCCAGCGACCGCGATCCATGACCTTGGTCAGCCGCCGGCTGAGTGGCATCATGCCACCCATCCTGGCCGCAGCCCAAGACACCAGCGACAAGAATGGACAGCACATTGCCAATTCGCCCACAGAACTTCTCAAGGCCGCCAGCCCCGAGGTCTGTAGCACCAGCGCTTGCCCGTCCACGCCCTTCCCGCCAGTCGTTCCACCCAGATTGGGATTGGCTCATGATGGCTGGGAAAACTGCAATAGGTGATTGATGTCACGCTCCGCAAAACTTTGGGTGGCTACGGCTTTAGCATCACAGGCAACAACCTCCACGGTGCGTATCCATCTATCAGTTGCCCAACCCTCGAGCTCTGCATCCCAGATTTACGAGTTCATGATCGCCCCTCTTGTTCAAATCTCGATACTGCGCAGGCACCTACATCACCCGCATTCTTGTGGGCAGCCCCGCCCATCGGTCTGGTGTTCTGCGTCGAGGCATGCGTGTGGGTCGCCTCTTTTTTAAACCGCCATGCTGATTCGTACCAATATAAGACTCTGCCACCTCAGCACCCTCTCACCCTGTTGGTAATGACCACAGCTGTTTGCGATCAATGATGAAGACATCACTGGTCTCTCCCGTGAGGCTGTCAAGATCCTACTCGAGTCCTCCGACTCGCCTGAACTTGTTTTGGAGGTGGCCTATGACCCAGATGGTTTTGCCTACTTTGATAAAGGTGTGCCCGCGCCCCGCACCCCCAGTCCGCCGCGCCCACGTCATCGTGCTCATGCTGTCATGCTTTCTTTTCACGGGTGCACAGGTGAAGAACTGCGCCGACTAAGCGTCTTTGCTTTTGCAGCATGTGCCAACAGTACTGAAGCAGATACAGCACCGTACACCCTGGCCGTTCACTGGATGGGCAGTGTCCCTATCGAAGGTTCGCCTAGCTTTTCGTGCAATGTCTGGGTCGAAAGGCGCCCCTTGGTGCTCACCGCTGCTTTTTGTAGATTCGGAACCCGAAACGCTGCAAGGCCACTACATGACGCTCAAAGCCAACCCACGCAAAGAGTGGAAGCATCCCTTGCGCCTTACCATCTCAGCAACCGACATTTGCGTTTCGGAAGTCGCCAAACTCAAGAAAAAGGAGGCCACTCCACCCCCAATCGAGCGGCTCCTTCTGGCTGATGTGGTGACGTGCAGCGCGTCCAGTAACGTGGTCGCCCTGGTCCATCGTACTGTCACGCTCGAAGGCCGGGAGCTCGAGTGCTGGTACTTTACTACCACTGATGAGCAGCAGGTACAATCGCTCTGCTCTGGTGGTGGCGCGATGCTCGTATCCAGCCCAAATCCCAACCAACGCCCGCGTTCTCACGCAAACATTTTGGACCTAGGCTGCCGCGATGAAGAGCAAAGTTTCTGATATGTGCCATCAAGGCATGGCCCATCTGCAAGCAGTCCGATCGGAAGCACAGGCATTGGCTGATCGAGCCGCGGCCTTGCGTCCCGTGCGGCCCCGTCGTAACACCAGCTTGGACACCATTGCCAAGGCCCTGCATCCTCCGGAGGACGCCACCAATGGTGCCAACCCGTCGGCTACTAGTGGTGAGCTGACAGGGTCGAAGAATTAGTGATTGTGTTGGACATGGATTGAAACTCACCCTTTGTGGGCGTGACGACGTCTGAACTCGTCGTAGAAAAACCAAGCCCCAAATTGGCGACACGAAACAGCATGCACCTGCCAGAAGAGGCCGTTCAAGCGGCAGGTTGTTTTTTTCTTCTTTTTTTTTACCTGCGTGCGTGCGTGTGTACGTGTCCTTTCCTTATGTCCCTCACGTTCTTGTGCGTGCTCAGCTTTACCTGCCAGTATGGGTAAGGTTGCAAGTCTCCATCAGCAGCGCTGGTTTCAGGCGCGCATCGACAAGCGCACGGCCTGCCGGGTGAGTTGCGAGAACCATGATCCTCTTTGTCCCATCTGCAAGTAACTTGGCTTGTTCCGATGGTTGCAAGCAGTGGCTGATTGGAGGTTGTGGCGCTCGCACCCATGTAGACGCTACGCGAGAAAGCACGTGTAGGAGCCTTTGTGGTCTACCCAGCAGATCTCCCCAACAAATATCTCCTGTCCGTAAAGGAATCTGCCGCGGAAGTTGTGACCATGACCATCAGCCCCGAAGTGGATGAAGTTCGCATCTTTTACGCTCTGCAAGGGCATCCAAAGCGCTTCCGAGAGGTGGTGGAGCTGGTGCATTACTACGCCAAGCACCCGTATGCGCGCGATGGCAACAACCGCCCAAAATTGCTGGGGCCTCGCGGTCCTGCTAAAAGTCCTGCTAAAAGCCCAGCCAAAAGTCCACGCTCACAGGACGACACAAGCGCTCAGGAGCGCCCATCTGACGCCAATGCAACCAATACTGATGCGACGTCTGCACCGTCAGCTGCACCCACCTCACCACCAGTCTCGACGCGTGGGTCGCCGAGCTCCTCCCACGCCCCGTCCGTCGAAAATGTGGCAGACTCGACAGCCGATGCCAACTCTGATCTGAAGGCTGGTCAGAATGCCAACTCTGATTTGGAGTCCGGTCAGGAAGTGGAGACTAGAACCCAGCCGGTCAACAGTGAGGCCACCACGCCTAAAACACCCAAAGCGCCCGCAACACCTGAAACACCCGCTACGCCTGTGACGCCTACAGCCGAAACGCGGCGCAAACGCAAACCGCGTGTCCGTGCCGATCCCCGACAGTCTGGACTTCGACCAATGTCTGGAGTGCCCCCGCGCGTCTCAACTCGACATGCCGGGCTCACGCCTGATGTGCTTGCAGAAGGAGTGCGTGCTGCTGAAAAGTACAATGCCATGTGCGCCGTTCTCGCCTAATCCGCGACCCTTGTGTTCGATTTGCCCTGGGCAAAGGCTTTGTTTTGACCGTCTTCTTGTTTCAGCCAGCGCGATCTTCCTCTCGAGTTTGCCGTTGCTACACTATGAGATAGCAATCCCGTTAATTGATTGATGATGATTTGTTGCTTCTGGCGAAAAAAATGGCGGGCTCGAAATGGCAGTCTCTTTTCTGGAGTTTGTCTTTCTTTCAGTCGTCCGCCAAGAACTACGCTGCCCGAGGCCTTCGACCCCTCGTAGTAAGGGTTTTATACCATGAATTCCGATTGCCCTGTCGTGTCGAACCTGAAGGGATGAGGAATGTAGGACTGTCTAGCATTAACCTGTAAATCGAAAAAAATTATTGTGGTTCACTTGTGGACAACAAATTTGTGATCGTCTGGTTTTTTTTTTAAAAATTTGACCTTTACATGTTAGTGCCGGTGAGCCATCGTCTTGCTGTTCTTTATCAACCAGTCGAGCGACCCTTTGAATTGTCTCTCAGAAGATGTGCGACCAAATTCTTTTTAGCGCTGCTTCGTCGGTGCCGCGGAAGCGTGGTACTAAGGTTGCGTCAAAACAGCTGAAAAGCATCTGAACGTGAAGAAGTTTTCGATGCTGTTTGGCACCACGATCCGGATGGAACGCTCACACCCAACGGCTGCATCACGCAAAACCGGCTGAAAATCATTACTCATGCTGTGATTCCTAAGAGCAAACACTGCCCAATCCACAGCTTGACCGAGTGGCAGCAATCCCAGTTAGACGGGTTTGAGTTTGATTTTTGTTTTCTACTGGTACGCAATGACACTTTCACGTTTCCTCAACTCGCAACGCCCAAAAGCCCTGCTCGGACTAGAACACGGACATGGCGTGTGAGGGCTGGATCGCACATGACTTGGGACGTGATGCGCGGGGCTTGCTCAGGATGCAGCTTGAGGGTCTCGATCATGTGCTTGATAGCAGGAACTGCTAATGCCTCACGAACTGAGCGCAACACCGGTGCATGATGGGACGAGCAGCAAGGTCAGGCGACAAAATCATTCGTGCGCATCCGTCAAGTCACTGCCTGAGGTAGGTACTATCTTGCTTGCTTGTGCATGATCAGTTTTGCTGATGAAACTTCACAGAACAACGCCCGGGCTACGCACCATCCGGATCTTCCATGACGCGTCGCAGGTGTTGCTCGTCCTCAGGTAGCAAGTCCGGTGCGGCTGGTTGTTGGGCTGTACGGGCCTTCTCTTGGTCCTCCTTCTCGCCCAAGGTCTCGAAATGGGATCCCATAACTTCAAAGTACTCTTTGAAAAATTGCGCCACCTGTTCAAGGGGCAACGTCAAGGCATTGGGCGGTGACGTCAACGAAGGGACCCGGGCACCACATTTGAGGGTAAAGTGGGGTCATGTGCCACTGAATGAGTGGTACGATGGGCTGACCTCGGGGTTGGTGCCATATTTCTTCTTGGCCGTGGCTGGGTCAGATTGGAATTCTTGCAAGGCCTTTTGGAAAGTCGGATCTGTGGGGAGTGCACCGCATGTGAGCTCAGTGAGATGCCACACACGCTCATTTAAAGGGGAGTGCCGTCGGGTGAAGAGTTGGGAAAAGCAAGCGTACCACCCATGCACTTGAGCAGGTGGGGTTTGCTCTGAAACTTTTGCAAAAGATCTGGTGTCAGCCATTGGTCACCTACGCAGCATCCAAAGCCAAACCATGATGACAGAAATAGGAAAAAAAAAAAAAAAGCCAAGGCGAGCACAAGGCGTGCTCAACAAGGAAAGGGGGTAAATCTTGATCCTCTTTATGCTCAGGGCTTACGTGTTTTCTCCAAGAATGGAGCGGCTTGCGTCAAAGCATCTTGGACTTCGGGAAGCTACCATGGTAAGAAGCACCGATGGAGGTGAGGAGAGGGTGGCAGGGGTCCAAAGTGCAAAGGAAGGCGGTACAATGGGTCAAGGCGGACCAGGGGGGAGGCAGCGGCTGGATTGGCCCGAATAAAAGGCATGTCTTCAGAGTTGGAAGGTGAAGGCACGGTCTTGTTGGCTTGTGACGAGGGGGCAGTTGGTGTGGCGGTGGTTTGAGCTGGCGGCTTTGAAATGGCCTTTGGCTTCGGCTTGCTCTTGGTGGCCCCCCCGGATAGAAAGCCTTTGCCAAAGCCCCCAAAGCCACCACCACTCGTCTTTGTGGTTGCTGGCTTGGTCTTGGCCTGGGTTTTGACGGGTGGTTTGGCCTAGGTTCGTCGAGAGGAGAGGCGGGCGCAGTCCAGTAAGCAAAGAGGCCGTGAACTTGGGCCACGTAGGTGAGCAAAGCAAGTCAAGGAGGAGGGGCATGGCCAATGTTGCGCAGCAGCGACCTGAACAGGGGTTGCAGCGGGTTTGCTGGTAATGGGTGTCGGGGCCTTTTTCGGCGGGCCAGCGCCTAGACGGTGCCGGAGCTGCAGCTCGGCCGTCATGTCCTCCAGCGGCGGAGGCAAATCATCATCTGCCATCTTGGGTGTTGATCGCGTCAGCACGTGTATATATCAGCCAGTGTTTGCATATAATCCACACCCCCACGCCTCAGTCCTGAGCCAACCCGCCGCGAACGAGCGACAGGTCTGGGTGAGAGAGCGCGCGCGAGAGAGAGAGAGAGAGAGAGAGAGAGAGAGAGAAATTTGGAAAAAGCGTCGCCAAGCGGAACTCTGACAATAATCACACTTTACCACCCAGACTCAACTACATAAACCTCTTACTTTACATCATAAACCCACTCATTCATCTAAAGCTTTACAACAGACATTGCAACATAATCATCAATAAGTCCCGGTATAACAGCTTTTAATTTGATGTGCTTTGCTATGTTAGGGCGAATGGCAGTGTGATTGTCAGCATGAGTTTGATGTTTGGTGTTTGTGTTTTTTTTTTTTTTTTTTTTTGTTTTGAACGCACACACACACTCTCTCTATTTTTTGTGGCGCGCTGACCCACTGACACTCTGGCAGACAGAGACTCACATTGACAGAGACTCACACCCATACAGGCTCACACGCACAAGCTCACACGCAAGGAATCACACGCACAGACACACACACACGGAATCACATTGACACACACAGAGAGACACAGGCACGCTAACGCGGGTGGATCCGATCGAGTGTTCTTCTGGTACGCAAGTGTCATACACACAAAGAGATCGCTTGGGAGGATGGCGGGCGTGAGGCTACAACAGTGGGCTGGGCAGCGGCTCAGGGCCCTGCTGGGGGCCTTGCTCGTGGGATCGATGCTGCTGGGGCCGGTCCCTGGACAGGCGACCCGTGTTGTCGTGAGTGAGCGAATGGAGCTCGTGTTCTGGACCAACTCCACCGTGCAGGTAGGTTCCGCGTGTGGTGGTGTTGGGACAAAAGTCTTGCTCTGCTCTTTCTGCTTCATGACCAGCTCGATCTGTGCAGGTGGTAGTCTATCCAACGATGGCCAACGGATCAATGCCACCGCGTCCGTCTCTAGTGGTCAACGCCACGCCAGCCGCCAGCACGACCACCGACGTCATTCGCAACGACACGGCACTGCTGGTGGTGCAAACACCCCGGGTCGAGGTCACCGCGGACAAGAGCCGTGCCATCGTCAACGTCACCGATCGCGCCACACGGGAGGTCCTTGCGCAGCACACGTTGTCCTTTACGCCCGTGAGCCATGTAGCGGCGGACGTCGGATTGTATGCAGTGCACACAGAGGTGGCCACGGTGGCCTCGGAGCGCCTGTATGGTCTGGGCTCACTCCAAAACGGACTGGTCGAGTACAATCAGGTACCAGTGGAGCTGGTGCAGTTCAATACCGAGGCCATTGTTCCAGTTTTGCTGTCTTCGCGCGGCTTTGGGCTCTACTTTGATCACTACAGCTGGTCTTATTGGAACCGTCCGGCCGCACACGATCAGGTCGACCTCCAACCCGTATCTGGAGGGGGACAAGAAGGAACCGTGGTCCCTTCCAGCGATACCCTCGTCCTGCACTATCGCGTGGCTGACGACTTTGGTCTGAGCTTTGATGGCCAGGTTCTCGTGAACAACCAGATTTGCGATGACTACGCTGGCGTCCACAATCACCCCAACAGTGCCAGCTGCCGTGTTCGCGGACTGCAGCCTGGGACACCCGTAAAGGTCACTGTGACGGCAACCACCCCCGTCACGCTTTACGCTCCCACGGCTCGCCCCATCAACTCTATGGACAGCGCCGCCGAGCGGGCATTCAGTTTGTTTGTCATGGTACCCGAACAACCCACCGTGAGCGCCAAAGCCCTCGGGTCCTCCCTGTTCGATGGCCTGGTGGCCCAGTATCGGACGTTGACTGGACGAGCGCCCTTGCTCGGGCGCTGGGCCTACGGGTTTTGGCAATGCCAGGAACACTATCATACCAAGGCGGAGTTGCTTGCTGATGCTTATGGATATCGCCAGCGTCAGATTCCCATTGACAACATCGTCCAGGACTGGCACTATTGGAACACCGAAGGTGGGTTGTGCGTATCTGCTGGAAGGAAGGTGGGGGGAATCGGCTGGCGGTGCTGGAAGAGTCAATGCAGCCAACGTGTCTGGGATGGCTGACCTTGCTTGCTTTAGGATGGGGACCACAATGGGACCCCCTGGCGTACCCAGATCCCGCTGATATGGTGCGGCAACTCGAGGCCCTGGGTTTGCAGCTCATGGTCTCAGTCTGGTCCAAGTTTGACGTGGGGACCAGCTTTTATCAAGAGTTGGCCCATGCTCAAGCACTCCTACCGGGGAACAGCACCTACATGGACCCCTGGAGTCGCTCAGCACGAGACCTCTTCTACCAGTTTACCAACGAATCCATGTATGGGATTGGCGTGGCGGCCATCTGGGCAGATGCGACAGAACCTGAGGGGCTGCCCAATCTCAATAATACGGTCGCATTGGGCGCGGGTAATGAGTTTTTGAATACCTTTAGCCTCGAGGTCATGCACAGCCTCTTCACGGGATGGGAGCGGGATTATGAGGGCCGCTTTTTCTCCCTGACCCGGTCTGCGTTTGCCGGGCAGCAACGGTACAGCGGCGTGGTGTGGTCCGGGGACACCACCTCAACTTGGACTCAGTTGTATCGTCAGATGACGGCTTCAATGAGCTTTGCGCTCGCGGGCATGCCATACTGGTCACAGGATCTCGGTGGCTTTTTCCGTCCAGCAGATCAGTACAACAGCTCCGACTACCAGGATCTTCTCATCCGGTGGTTTCAGCTCGGCCTCTTTACCCCAATTTACCGCGTGCATGGCAGTGGCAGGTACGCATACATTTGCAAAGGAAGCGTTGAAGGGGACGTTTTTTTTTTGTGCATATGTCTCACAACGCGGCCTCTGCCGTTTTCTTCTTCATCATTCTCCACTTTTTTTGGTACTCCTTGGCGACGCACATGCTTTGGCCAAATTTGGGTGTAGTCGGACAGCCTTTTGGAATTATCCGGCCTCCACCGAGGCCACGTTGACGGCATACAACGTTTTTCGGTACCGGCTCCTGCCGTATATTTATGCCTTGGCGTGGCGCAGCACGGCTGAGCACTACACCATGCAGCGCCCGTTGGCATTTGACTTCATTCACGATGCGCAGGTTCGTTGAACTTGAATGGGGTGCGGGTGCTACCCACGCCATGGTCAGCTCCGCCTCACCCGTGGCCTGGAGCATGCAGGCCTTGGAGATTACGGACCAGTACATGTTTGGACCTGCCTTGATGGTTGCACCCGTGTACCATGCTCATGCCGAGGAGCGCAGCGTGTACCTACCCAAGACAGCCGAGGGCAATGCCACTTGGTTTGACTTTTTCACGGGACAGGTGCTGAGTGGCGGTCAAAGTGTGACTTCGCAGGTGGCGGCAGACACACTGCCAGTCTTCGTCCCAGCCGGCCGCTTGCTTGTTTTGGGCAACCCAGTCACGTCTTCGCGTGAGGCACAGGTGGAACTAGAGCTCCGCATCTACCCGGGTGGGGATGACTGGTACGTTATTCGGCAGGTCATAGGGTTGGGGTGATTGTTTGGGTGGTGTTGGTGGGCATGGCAAGGCTCAAACGGTGATGGGGCATCGGCCAGCTTTACGCTCTACGAGGACGATGGGGTCTCTAGGGGCTATGAAAGAGGTGTCTACAGTACCTTTGAGCTTTGCTGGCGCGAGGAGGCACAACTCGTATCCTTTGGTGCTCGGGTGGGCCAGTTTCAAGGATTTGCGCCGGTATGTGAGGGTGCTGTACAGATCTGGTTGGTTTGTCTGGCATGGCGGCGGTTATCTCAAAGGTGGTGTATCACGGGCCATGGTAGAGCATTCGTTTGAACGCGGTGCGAGTGCGCCCGGGCCAAGGAGTGGGCTTTAATGGAACGACGGCCTTTGATGCCAGCACCACCTACACGGGCGACGCTGGGGAGCTTGTATTGCCGCCCGCCATAGTAACAGCGTGAACGAGCAAGCATGCAGGCAGACCTGCAACAACACCTGTTGTCATCAGCGTTTCTGACACGCGGGATGACAACTCCAAAGTGTGACCAACACTTCAGTTTATACGTCTAAAGTGTAAGTTTTATTATACATGGATACCCATGCGGCTCCCTCACACACACAGATCCACGCGCTGATGACAAAGCAACAAAAAATTTTGCCGCCAAATTTTTTTTGACTGTAAGGATATGCTTTTGAGACTTTTATACTCTAATTGCATAGTTATTGCAGCAACATTTCTGTTGATCACTAATTCTCCTTGAAGAGTTCTGTCTCTTATTGTATGAGATTTGAATGTTTTATCCCACGTTGCTGAACAAAAGAGAAGTCAGAGAGAGCGAGAGAGAGGCACAGAGAGAGAGAGAAAGAAAGGGAGAGAAAGACTAACACATGGTCGCTCATTCAGAGAGAGAGAGAGAGAGAGAGAGAGAGAGAGAGGCGACGGGCTGGCGCCGAGAGGTTCTTCGTCTCGTTGTGCGGGTTCTTCAACTTTGCTTCGCTTCTCTCCTGCTCGGCGGCATTCCGGTGCAAGTGGCCGTGGTCTGCGAATGCATTCGGCAAAGCTTGTTGCATTCAATCCTTATTCGTTAGCTAGTGAGTGGTCGTATACTGGCGACTTTGGGGGGGGGGCTGACCATCGGCCACGTGTAGGCGCTGTGCTGATATTTAAGGCACCTCGCTGCCTTTGCGACGGGTTTCGCTCGCTCACGTGTGCTGGCTCGCCGTTCTTTTTTTTTTTTTTTTTCTCTCTCTCTCTCTTTCGTTCTTCTCTCTTGTGCTTCCCTGCATTTGTATCGCCTTCCTACCCGTCATCTCCCACTTGTTGGTTGGTTGGTTGGGCTTGAACCGGCGCCGTCTCACTGGGCTCGATTGATGCAGGTGAAGGAGGAGCTGACATACCGTCCAGTTACGCGCTGCGCGCAAGCAACGTGCAATCCAAAAAAAAGGGATTTTGAGCCCTTTGCAGCCTGCGACGTCTTTCTTCCAAGCGTACAAGCCTTCCCTTGTCCCGCGCGCATTCCACATTCGCTTCCCTGCTCTTGGTGGCCCCGGGCGTTGTGGGTAGTGCGGCAGCTGGCGGCAACATCGCCTCCACGCGACTTGCTTTTCTGGTGGAGCCACATTCAGTCTTCTTCATCTACACTAGGCGACTGCCCCCTTTGGTCAAGGCCGCCGTCTACACGACCGCTCTCGGCTTGCAGCCATCAGCTGACACAGCTTTATTCACCACTCCGCCTGCCCCCAATTGTCCTTCCCTTTCTTCTTTCCCACTGTCAGTGACAGACGTAAGCCAGTCACCGCCAGGCTGCCCGACGCAAGCTTGGCCATGACGTTGATGGAGGAGGAGGTGGCCGTGGCGGCTCGTGTCGTCGACGAGGTTTTCCTCGCCGACAAGGACATGCATCTGCGCAACAATTTCCGCGACGAGCTGGAAGATCATCTCCTGGCTCACGTGGCTGGTCACTGCTATAACAATCCCGTTCGTGGTAGTGGCTATCGCTGCTTGCGCGCACACAGCGGCAAACAAGATGCCATTGTACGTCAAGCTGCCCAAGCAGCTGGTGCACTCTCCCTGTTGGACGCCCTGCCCATGGACTGGACGATGTGGGTCGACCCCGGCTGCGTCGCATACCGCGTGGCAGACGGCATGGTTCAGGAGTTTGAGGTCGTCGACACTCAATTCCAAATTGAGCCCACCGCGAACCTGGGGTTTGCGGAGCCCATTAGCTCAAGCAGCCTCAGCCCCGTTCTCTCAGAGGCCACCTCGCCAATCCAATCGCGTCATACCTACTCTCCGCCCGCTCACATGGGTGGCTCGGGCCCCATCATTGACACAGCGGCTGCCACCAAGGCCGCCGCTGCCGCCGCCAACGCTGCCCTAGCCAATGCCGCCTTGGCCAATGCCGCCTTGGCCAATGCCGCCCGCCTCAAGCCACCCAAGTCTCTCAAGGTCAACGGTCGATCGCGACGTCGCTCCAAACGCCAAGCCCAGAGTTACAACAACTCTGCCGCCAATACCGGTGCCACACAGGGTTACCAGGGTGGCTGGGCCCCTTACGACTCAAGCTATGATGGACCCATGGATCCTGCCACCGCTGCCGCCCTGGCTGCCCATTCCTTCATGCAGGCAGCCTGTTAGGCACCCATGCTGGCTCTTCTTCTTTTGCCTGTTTCGTGGCCGTACCCGTTCCAAATTGCCCTGCCAAGCCGGGCGCCGAGTTGCTTTTTGTGTTCTCTTCCCACCTTCGCTGCCTATTTTGCTCTCTCTCTCTCTCTCTTTTTTTTTTTGTCTTGCATGTACTGGCGTGGTTGGCGATTTGCCAGCACCAACTCTATCCAGACTTCTCTGTCTTGTCCTTCTCCCTGTCCTTTTGTCAAACGTCCTCGTCCACGGTCTTTGTGAGACCTCGACGTGTGTGAGACCGACTGCCTCATGTCTGCACAGCCTCAAGGAGCTAGTGTAGCTCACATGGGGCCGTCCGCGTATCAGCGTGGCGGTGTACTTTTGTCGATCATGTTTGTTGCGGTATTCTATCGTCCTCTTTTCACTTTGTGGTGGGTGAGCACCCTCGGGTGCGGAGGCGAGCCCGCTAGAAAGTCTTCGTTGTCCTTGCCTCTCGTTTCTTCTCGAAAGCATGTGAATGTTTACTCGTCTTGTTATTGTGTTTTTTTGGGGGCCTGTTTCAGCCGCGTTTCGCGGTCTGTTCCATTAACATTTCTGGAACTTCGCTTTTTCTCCGTTGGCACAACTGGTTTGAGGCCGCGGAACCGCGTTTTTTGCCGCAGGTTCTGTACCCGGGCATTGCGGATCTTCGCCTCGACTTGAGTCTGTGTGGTGCACGGAAGAAGCGCCGATTGGAATCGTGTCGTTGCTTCTACTCTTGTCCTGCTTTCGCATTTTGCGGCACCGCCCTGTTTGGCGTTGCTGCCGCTTGTTATATTTCCCCTGTATCTTCCTTTGCGCGCGTTGTTCGACGCGCAGAGATGCCCTTGCCACCAGTGTGCTTTGATTTCGAGGAAATTTCTGCTCGAGGTTTAGCCTTACCATGGGCCCTCGATGCCCCGACGTATTTTCGTTTCTTCTACTCTTTTGTCTTGCTTTTGGAGTCTATTCCTTGTGGTTGTTCTTCAGGTTTTTGTCGGCTCTGTGTTTCTTGATGCTGAATGCGTATAATCACCCCTATGTGAGTCTGGCCTCGAGCCAAGTCAACAGCCGGCTTGCCTCGGATGTGCGTGGCCAGTGATTCTTTTTGAGGGTGCAAGTTTATGCTAAGCCATCTTGTTATGGTTGGGGGTTGCCGTGTGTGGCGACCGCGAGCGGTTGAGCCGCTTTTCTTTCGATACTTGGGTTGTGTTTCTTTGCGTCCAAGCCCGTTGTCTCTGGGACGGCGGGATCAAAGTATGTTGAGCATTGTCCATCCCGTCTGACATCTCGTCTCCTGTTGTATGCATCTGAGCCAAGTGTGGGCGTGCGCGCAAGCATGTCCAATCCTGTTGTACAGGATTCTTCGGTGCAGCTGTCGTGCGCCCGACTGTACCGTGTCTTTTTTTTTTGTCCCCTATCGTTTATGGTTGGCCTCCACTTCGTTCTGTTGCTTCGAGTCCTCTGCTTGTGGGCTTGGGGACAACCAAGAACAAGCGTTGAAGGCGGACGTTCCGATTGTCTGACTCCTACATGTCCTATTGTGTTTCTTGTTCTAGTCGCTCGGCTTTAGCGCCGCGTGACACTTCAATTCGATTAGCAAGACTGAATTGTTGTCGCGTGGCGATTTTTATCTGTAGACAAACGTGGCGCGTGTCCAAGAGAGAGAGAGAGAGAGAGAGAGAGAGAGAGAGAGAGAGAGAGAGAGAGAGAGAGAGAGAGAGAGAGAGAGAGAGAGTGAGAGAGAGAGAGAGGGAGAGAGAGAGAGAGAGAGAGAGAGAGAGAGAGAGAGGGAAAGAGAGATAAAAAGAGCATATGGAAGGGAGGGGGGGTTTAAGCATAGGCGCGCCACAAGTTTTTTTGGGCTTCTTAATCCTTTGCTGTGCTAAACTACATCTCGTCTTCATCACTCATGAGCAGCTCGTCATCCAATGGGGGAAAATCGCCAGTTTCCACGCTGCCTGGTTTGACAAAGCATCCATAGTTTGGTGCGCATTCGAAAAACTTGTGGCCCTCGATGCTGCGAAACGGAGCAGTGTGGTGAGGCAAGCTAGCTTGGCGGACAGCCATTGGCAGCCTATGACTGCCAAAATGCAAAGACCAGGCACGAAAAAAACAAAAAACGTCATTACACACCTGCCATCATTCTTTCCAAAGGGTTCATCGAGCTCGACGCCGACAAACTTGCCGGGTTTGCCTCGAATTTCCCCTGAAGTCATTTGTACGTGAATGCGTCATCTGAAAAAAAAAAAAAATAGTGACAGACCGTTGGGGATGAAAAGTCATGGATGCGTACCGACGTAGCGAACGGTTCCACGTTGCTTGCCCGCCGATTTGAGCGTGACTTGACACCTGGGTACCAGCGGGTTGGTATGAGGGGCGAACGTGCACGGAATGGGAAAACGTTCTCGCCAACAAACGCGCGTACCGGCTGCCGACATCCATGGCGGCGGCATTGGCATCTTCTTCCTGTTGCTTAACCTCGGCCTGCGGAGCAGCATTGTATGAGCAAGCAATTGGGAGTTGAAAGTTGTTTGGTGTGTATGGAAGTTGAGTGGCATCATGGGGAGCTGCACCTACGGCCCTGGCAGCCTCGGGATTGAATCGGCCCAGCTGGTTACGACGCTTAAAGTCCAGCACCGTGTCTATACAACAGAACGGGTGAACGAGCCAAGAAGGAGGCAGGAGAGGAAACAGGAGGGGAAGAAACGGTGCGCGTGTGGTCAAGCGTATGAAATGTCAAAGTTGTGGTCAGATGGCCGGGTATCGAGAGCCCAACTTGATGGAGGAAAAGGCAGGCAACTGGACGGCCTTGCCAGTGGGATCGGGCAATTGGGGGGCATTGTGCTGACCTCGTTTAGAGGCATATTCTGCATCCGTGAGCTCGTACTTTTCGACCTTGGAGAGGTCATCAAACTCGCCAACGGCCGCAGTCGAGTCGACGTTCTTCACCTACAACATGCAACGCCACCGTAAGGTTTGAGCAACGACTGGCGATCGTGATGGGAGCTGACGTGTCTTGAGCGATCAAGCACAATGTTCTCTTTTCTGATCTTCTGTCGTCTCTTCTGGCCGCCTTGGCATGGCCCGTTTCCAAAACGCAGGGGCCGGAACGTGTGGCTGGAGGCATGCTACTCTGATACTCACGTGAAGTTCGAGATAGTCTTCGACCGGGTAGGCGCCGAGCATCGCGTTGTCGTCACTCATGATGCAAATCTTCTGCCCCTGCTGGTCCAAGAGGTGCAGCTGCATGCTGGCCGTGGGCACACCAACAATCAGCTCCAACTTGGACTTGACATTGCTGATGGTCAACCCCTTGTCAAACCGACGCTCCGAGCGCACGTTGGCCGACGAGCACGACACGTTGAGCGTCACAATCGACATCTTGCTGCTTCAAAATGTAAAGCAGAGGCAGCAACGGAGGAAGCAAAAAAAAAAAAAAAAATGAAAAATTTTGCCAATTTCGGACACACACACACACACACACACACACACACACACACACACACACACACACACACACACGGGGACGGTTGTTAAGGCTTGTGCTGGATGTCAGAGATTTTTTGAAAAGTATTTTACTTAAGATGACAGCTACTAATTGTTGATCACGTCGCTTCGCTACTAAGCGTCAGCCACAGGAGAGAGCAAGACAAAAGTGAGAGAGGAAGACAAAAGTGAGAGAGAGAGAGAGAGAGAGAGAGAGAGAGAGAGAGAGAGAGAGAGAGAGAGAGAGAGAGAGAGAGAGAGAGCACACACACACAATTTTTTTTTTTTAACAAACGGCAGTCGCGGAGCGTGCGGTCAAACGCTTGGCGTGCACGCGCATAGCCGAGTCCATATCGGGTGTAGACGCACGCAGGCACGCGTTGCCTTTGGCATTGCATTTGCGAGTCTGGCTTGGTTGGACTCTTTGGCATATTCGAGTGTGTGTTCACATCACAGGCGTGTGAGCGACTGCGCGTGTGTCTGTCCGCGCGCCCGCGCGTGTGTGTCTCTGTGTGTGTCTCTGTGTCCCTCTGTGCGGGGGAGGCAGGCCGCCAGTGGATCAAAAACCCCTTGTTGTCGGTTGAGCGGGATAGCCAGCGATCGATTGGGCAAGCCTGGTCACGGGGTTGAACTCGTTTGCTTGTTTGCTTGTTCGCTCGTTTTGGCTCGAGCTGTGGCTCTCCAGTGTCGCCCTCAATTTCGGCAGTCGTCATCATCTCGTGCTCGAGGCTTGTGCTCGCGCTTCACTTGACCACTGTTTCGTACGCTCGTACCCGACTTGATCTCATGGCTCTGGATCAGATCACAATCTGAGCCGTACTCGGTCCTTTCTGTTTTGAACAGACACCTTCTCTCGATCAGCACAGTGTATGTGTGCACCCCCACACCCTTGAACTAGAGCCGTCTCGTTCGTGTCGATAGTCAGCGTCATGGATCCTCCTTCCAGTGCTCCTGCTGCTCCGACGGCAGCGCACTCCTCTCAACAGCCCGCAAACGTGGGCACGGGGCTCCCAAACGGCACCGCCACGGCCGGCTCTGCTCCCATCACGCCGGCCACGGCCACGGACAATGCGGCGTCCGGTCTCATCCCCATCGCCTTGGCCCCCCCGCCTATGGTCGATGCCGCTGCTCCCGCCACCAACGGCATGCCTGCTCCCATTCCAATGTCCGCCGAGCAGGCAAATCCAACACAGAGCTCGGGGCAGGAGCCGGCAAGAGCCCAGCAACCCTCTGACCTGACGACGCGCCTTGAACCACCCAAAGCCACCTCGGTGCCAAAACCCAACCGCTTTAACGTCCGTGTCGTGAGTACCAACGATTCCAACCCCATCAATCGCTCTCAATCCATGCCCGCGGGCGCGCGCCAGGCCGCTGCACAGATGCGTGAGATTAGCAACAACGAAGCCACAACAGCTGCCGCCGCACCCGATTCAGCACCACCGGCCACCACGACGACCGCTGAAACACCCGCCACAAGCACCGGCCCTTCCAACGCGGCGGCACCCAGCACAAGTGCTGGCGCTCCCCCCACGACCACGACCGATACCTCGGCACAGCGCGCCGGCCGATTCCGCGTTCGGGTGCAGACTCCGAATGACATGACACAGCAAGCCACAGAGCAACCACCCGCCTCCAAACCTGTACCCGTCGAGTCCACGGCCCAGTCGACGCTCGAGCCGCGACTCGAGGAGGGCATATCTACCATCGAGCCAGAACCGTCTGTTGCTCTTGGCCTTCAAGACTCTGTCGGAAGCGTGGCCTCCAACGCCTCAGCCACCGTGCCCACATCCACGGCCGCAGCAGGCCCTGCCAAGGTCAGCCACACGCTTACACTCTAATTTGTGCGCCATGCATCAAACATACACTCCCCAAATGTTTTTCTTTTTTCTCCCCTTCAGCTTAAGATTCGTGTATTGTGCTTTGCGCCCCCCGGACTTGGCCTCACACCACCACATGTTCCATAGAATGCTGAAAAGCGCGGCCGCTTCAAAGTCAAGCAATCATCCTTGGTCAAGACTGACTCGGCAGATGCTGCCAATGAGAGTCCCGCCGCGGCAGCACCTCCCATCCAATCTGCCGCTCAACCCGTGCCGGCCGTGACGCAGCCAGTCACGCAGCCAGCTTCACAGCCGGCCGCCCAGCCAGCGGCGCAGGTCCCTGCTGTCGTGCAACCCATCGTGGCTCAGCCTGCACCCGTCGTACCTGTGCCGACGCAGCCCACACCAGCTCAGCCCATGCCAGCTCCGTTGCTACCCTCGTCCGCCGCCCAGGCGGCCATAGTCTCCACTGTTAACCAGCATCAACCACAAGCGCAAATCATTCCACCCGTCATGCAAGGTAACGCGCCGGCAGTTGCCAATCCCGGTGCTAGGCGTAGCTCCACGGCCGTTGCTGCGGCCACAACTGCAGCCCCGGTTAATGCTTCCGCACGCCGCAACGCGGGGCATGTGGAGCAGCACGCCAATATCACACCAACCAAGTTTCACGCCATGCGCTCTATGAACCCCGCCAACATCTTGACTTCGAATGCTGGCGGACCCAAGCGACACGTGGGCTTTGATCCCGCCCATCCGTCCATCAGCCCGGCACCCGCTTACATCCCCGGGCGTTCCTTGAAGGGTCAGTCTGATTCTTCCGTCCT